AACAAGTTTCAATTGGTGGTCAGTTGAGTTTGTTTGAGGTTTTTTTTCCCCAACGGAACATCCACCACTTGGGGATTCTATGGGGAGAATTGTTTTTTTGAAAACCCTCAAGCAATTTCCGAGCATCAAGTTGGATATAGAATGAGGTGGAGTATCATCCATGATGATCCAACATTTTTTTTATGTGGGTAAAACAATGTCATAAGCCACCCATGACTGTGAATGGTTGAAATCCCACCTATTTATGGTGATGATTGGGGGATGGTTTATTAGTTTATTATTGATTGTTCCACAAAAAAGTGGGGATACAATGTATGTATAGCAGCAAAAAAGATTTGGTCTTCTGAGAAACTACAGTGTACCCAAGTTACACCAATTTCTTTTGGGAAGATGATCATCAACGACAAAATGGCCGCGTACCCAATTTCAGACAAAGCCATTCATACATGTTGAATCATCCATGTTTATATCAGATGGTTGATGCTCCAGCAATTTCAAAGACGCTTTGTAAACAATTTTATACAATATCATTAATGGGAATTTCAGGGTCCTAAAATGGAGGTACTGTACCACATAAGGCTATATTTGTTGGGGTATTCCCTTATATACATAGGCCTCAAAAATAGGCCTTATATATGGTAGGTACTGCACCTCCAATTTGGGATCCTGAAATTCCCATTGATATCAATTTCAGGGTTTCGCATCATGGGAATTTCAGGTAGATGGGAATTTCAGGATCCTAATTGTTGGTAGATTGATATCAATGGGAATTTCAGGATCCTAATTGTTGATATCCTGAAATTTAGGTAGCCCTTCATGTTTGATGGTTTCGCATCCCAATTGTTGCTGGTTCGCTTCCCAACCATCCATCCCCCTCTTAAAAATTTCACATGTTCACATAGGATTTAGCCCATGGTATTTCACGAACCCTTTGCATGGCTGGTTGGTGGTTTGGAACCATGGAATTTTATGATTTTCCATATATTGGGAAGATTTTCATCCCAACTGACTTTCACTCCATCATTTTTCAGAGGGGTAGGCGAAAAACCACCAACCAGATGGAGATGCTTTACCACACCTTTTTTTTGGGGGCGAAACTTTATCATCAATTGTTGGGGGGTCACCTCACTGGGGTGGTTGCATCACCATGAAAGAAACCACACACACTTATTTCAATGTCCAGAAACCTTGCAAATCTGTTTCAGAAGCTGTTGCAGTGAGGCTTGAAAAATAGACCTTGCATGTGCTACTTTCTATTAGGATATGGGTCAAGCTAGCCCAAAACTCGATGGTTTCTGTCTTTAGCAGCTTTAGCATCCCCAAGAGATAGAAAAAAAATCACTTGACCACCCAAAATATGTGGGTAAACTTTTGAGCTTCGCAAATTCCCCAATCTTTTTTTTTAATGGTACCCCCATCATATTCCATGAAAACCTACGACCAATTCCCCATCTTTGAGGGAATCAATTGGGAAACGTCAGTCAGGGCGACAGCAACGCAGCCAGTGGAGTTTTTACTGAGACCATTCGATTGGAGGTCAAGACTTCGCAGGAGCGCGGTGGTTCCGGTGGTTCCCCACGGGAAAATTTCTATGGGAAATGATGGGCTGGTTGGTGGTTTGGAACATTTTTTGGATTAAATGATTAACTATGGTTTATGGTTATGATATAACGAACTAGTTAATGGGGATTATTTCATGGTTTATAAACAGAACTAAACTACTGGTTGGTGGTTTGGAACATGAATTTTATTTTCCATAATAACTATATGGGATAATCCTTCCCATTGACTTTTTTTTTCAAGATGGTTAAAGCCACCAACCAGTGGGGATTTGATGGGAATTATGATGGGAGAGTGTCGGAAGATATCAAAAATCGCTTTTTTGATGGGAATTGACGTCCACAATTTCGATTTGAAACAACAGACACACGGAATTGACATGGTTTAAGCAACGGACACCTTGGTAATGGAGGATGGTTCTTATTATGATTTGGATGGTTATGATTTTGATGGGCAAATAATGAGAAACATATCATAAATTACCTGTGAAGGGCGGTTTTTCAGCGAGTCAGAATAGATGTCATATTCCGACAAAAAAGACTAGCCTCGTATCCATTTTAAATTATCCCAAAAGATGCTGGAACACGATGCTAGAACCTCGTCCATTTTCTGCACTAATCTGCGGACATGTGCAACAGTCAGTATAAGATGTACAGGATGCACCAAACAATTGATCTGTCTCGGATACTCTGGCTGAAGGGAAATTCTACAGGCAAATCCTCTGTAAAACTAAGTGGATTGTTGAACAAGATTCAAGATTATCGGTTTTTGGTATACTCTGAAACATCAGCCAAGTGATGGTCAGCATTGAGGAGAGTCATACTGTGCGAACTACCGGAGGTAAACAGGCTTGATAGATGGGTATGGGTCAATACCTATAGATACATTTTTAGTGGGATGAACATCCATTTACCAGCTATTTTGATGTTCACCAGGGGGACAAGGTTTTGACACACTGCCAGATCTTCGTAGAATGGGTGAAGGGTCCCACAACAATGGCCTTTCATGCAGCTTCTTGGGCCGGTTGACCAATGAAATGTCCCTGATTCAGGATGGATTGCTGTGACTCTTTGCCGTACAGACCTTGAGTCCTTTGTGTCGTCAGTTTCCAGCCAGGGCCCTTGGAGTAGAAATTCCACCCAATTTTGATGGCTTTCCTGTCAAAAATGGGAGTTGTCCACTTCCAAACATCAGTCGCCCAATTTCATTTCGGCGCAATGCCCCACAGGATCAACATGAAGAGGTGGGCACCCCCCTTGCCAGCGAGAATCTCAAGCAGGGCAGTTGGGTGAGTTTGGGCTAACAGAAATCTTCAGACGCGGATAAGCATTCATATTCATTCGATTTCATTTAACATATTCATTGGGAAAAACTCCAATGCCAATGCCACAACGGTGACTTGGGATGGTTCATGGCGGCTTTAGGTAGGAGTTGGGCATCACTTGGGTGGAAAGCCAATCTATCTACCCGGCCTGGTAAACGTTTACATAACTATGGCAAATCACCATTTTTTTTTGGGAAAATCCACTATAAATTGCAATTTTCAATAGCTATGTTAAATTACCAGAGGGTATCATTCTTTATCTCATTTCGTCTTTGCTTTCAAATGTCTTCGTTGTCTTGTATTTATCCCGTTGACATTTCTACTATCGTGGAAGACAATTCTTGTCTGGTTGGTGGTTTGGAACATTTTTTATTTTTCCATATATATATATATATTGGGAATGTCATCATCCCAACGGACTTTCATATGTTTCAGAGGGATTGATATACCACCAACCAGTTGTATATTCTTGTACGATCTATCAGTTTCAACTTGTTTGTCTCCCATTTCATTGGATCATGGGTGATCTCAGCTGCTCGATGCGATGTCAGAAGGGACTTCCTTGAGTCGATGCGCTATAGCTAAGATAGCGATGGAAAATCACCAGGAAGAGCTATAAATGTTGAACATTTTTGAACTAATGGCTATAGATCAGGTTCACATTTATAGATATTTATAGTTCCATAGCTAACCATAGCTAATTGTTTGTTCCACTATGGTATAGCTATAAATGTTCCGTTTCCATAGCTATACTTATACTTAGTTCAGAGGGTAACATGGGCCAGTAGAGATCCGGATTCTATAGCCTTTCAAAATCGGTATTTCACCACACGAAGTCGGAGATTCAGGATTTCAAAAATCTGGTTTAAAAGCCAGACACGCTTACACCGCACCGAAAACAATGTTTTTTTTTAAATAAATTGGGGGGTTTCTCATCATGGCCATATCATGGCCAATTTTTTTCATCTGGGCTTTGTAGATCCAAATGTTTTTTTCAGACGACTCATTTGGATGTTTTCAGTGGGAATTTCAGGATCCAACAGATGGAGGTACCTACCATATATAAGGCCTATGTTTGAGGCCTATGTAAGGGAATATCCCAACAAAATATGGCCTTATATGGTACAGTACCTCCATTTTAGGATCCTGGAATTCCCATTGATGTTTCCTAAAATGGTGTTTTTTTGTTTCCATTGTAAACCATCCAGCTATTGGGATACCCCCATTTATGGGAAATCCCCCCATTTGAAAGTGGGAGCCTGAACTTCTTCCTGGTTGGTGGTTTCAAACATGTTTTATTTTTCCATTTCATATATGGGATGTCATCCTTCCCATTGACGAACTCCATCAATTTTCAAGATGGTTAAGTCACCACCAACCAGATTCTATCTCGATGGAGTCCCAGTTGTTTTTTTTTATCAGAGCGATGGCGGTGATTTTCCGTGGATTGTCTGAAGATTTTGCAGATCTGGATTGATCAATGGGAATGTCAGGATCCAACAGATGGAGATACCTACCATATATAAGGCCCATATAAGGGCTATGTAAGGGGATATATGGCCAAGCATATGGTACTAACGTACCTCCATTTTAGGATCCTGGAATTCCCATTGAATTGATATCACTGGTTGGTGGCTTCAAATAGATTATTCAATGATAATTACCCTCTGGTAAACAAAACTATGGAAAATCACCATGCTATTAATGGGTAAATCAACTATAAATGGGATATGTTCAATAGCTATGTTAAATTGCCAGAGGGTATTTAATGTTCAGATATAGTTGGGATTTTGATTCCAACCAACTTTCGAATTTTTCGCTGGGTTGAAACCACCCATCAGTTCTTAAATGGTGTTATTAGCTATCAAAACCTGGGATTTTGAATGATGTTAATGCAAACATGATAATATATATATATATATTTATATTAATATAATATATATATATATGTAAATTAATGTGATTGCAAAAATTAACATATATTGACATTTTTTTATAGTTATATATATATGCTAATTAAAAGATGATAAATGGAGCTCTTTGCAGCAATGTCTTTCCGCCGGAAATTGACGTGTCCGCGCCTTTGGCCCAAATGACAAGGGAACTGCGCTGATGTGGGACCTTTGAGGGCGGGCGCACGCCAAGCCCCTTGGGGGTGTCGCATACCGCGACCGAGTAACCCATTCCCGACCCAGGCGCCCGTTCTGCGAAACGCAGTGTCGTGGTGAATTGTAAGGGGAGCTGAAAAATGGGAGAATGAGAGCGAAGTAAAGTATACTCCAGCTATTCAAGCTAGGGCATGAATGTATCTTACTTGTACATAATAATAATAATAATATATATATATGTAGATAGTAGTTCCTGTTGTGTTCTTGATGCTATCGAGTCTTTGGAGAAAATGAAAAGTGAGGAAGTTCTGAGGAAGTGGCCATTTTCACATGCTGACCTGGTTGGTGGTTTCAAACATTTTTTATTTTCCATAATAAATATGGGATGTCATCCTTCCCATTGGCTTTCATATTTTTCAGAGGGGTAGATGAACCACCAACCAGATTCATTAGTAACCATTATAAACCATTATAAACCATTATAAACCATTATAAACCATTGTAAACCATTATAAACCATTATAAACCATTATTTACCATTATTTAACCATTACTAACCATGATTAGCCATCATTTTTCAAGATGGTTAAGTCACCACCATGCAGATATCATTGTCATGTGGAAACACCAGAAACCCAAAACCCGGTGACACTATGTGACTAGTGACCTGGATGCACATCAGGATTGTAGGCGCTGGTTGCTGCTTGTTCCTATATACCCACTGGTAAACGTTTACATAGCTATGGAAAATCACCATGTTTAATAGGTAAATCAACTATTTCTATGGGCCATTTTCAATAGCTATGTTAAATTACCAGAGGGTAACTTGTTTGCAAGGTGTCTGAATGTGTGTGGATACTTTCTCATTTTTAGTGGTTGAGACACTTGAGATTCGCGGCGATTCCTCATCACTACTTTAATACTGATATCTGTATAACTGGTTGGTGGTTTGGAACCTGGATGTTTTCCCCTGGATATTTTCACCTGGAAATCCTCATTAACCAACCAGTAAAATGGAATAACAGGGGATTAATGAGGACTATAACTGGTTGGTGGTTTGGAACATGAATTTTGTTTTCCATTTCATATATGGGATGTCATCCTTCCCACTGACGAACTCCATCATTTTTCAAGATGGTTACTGTAAGTCACCACCAACCAGATATCATTGTTTAAAGATGATTTTCTCAGCGCCAAAAAAAACTCGGATTTCCATTGTCTTGCGGCCTTTGTTTAAAAAAAGTAGGATCCGGTTGCGCCATCCCGATGATCCTTGCTGTGAAATCTGAATCCTTCCATGCTAACAGGTCAATAACCATTTGAATTTGTTGTTGCAACAAGGATGGTGGGAATTATGTTGATTCGCCATAATATATATATAATATAATCTTGTATACTATGTAGAATTGTGTATATACACATTGATATGTTTTCTTGTACATACATATACCCTTTTGTAAAAAACTAACATTAATAACTATGGAAAATCACCATGTGAATAGGAAAATCAACGAACTAAAAGGATCATTTTCAATAGCTACCTGTGAAATTACCAGAGGGTAATCCCTTACCCCTAAAAACCGAAACGTCCCCAGAAACCATGCCGTTCGGCCAGGACGTGGGGCGGCGCAAGCCCCACAGATCATGCTCGCTTGATGCCCGACCTTTTGAGAAAAACAGTAGGGACAGGTGAAGAAGGGTGGCCTTCCGAAGTCCCTAAGTTGACTATGGTTATTAATGGTTATATATGGTTATTAATGGTGGTTTTCATGGCTAGTTGATGGTTATTACAATAATGATTAGTGTGGTTAAAGCAATGTCATAACTGTTTGGTGGTTTGGAACATGAACTTTATGACTTTCCATTCAGTTGGGGATTTCATACTCCCAACTGACTTTCACTCCATCATTTTTCAGAGGGGTAGGGCTCAACCACCAACCAGATAACTTGGTGAATTCTCAAGTTTCACTGGGACTTCTCACGGGGACCTTGGAAATGGATAGCTTGGGACCCATCAATTTGAAACGCTTTTGATGGGAATCAGATTTCAATAACATGGGATACCCAGCCAACAATATGATACGCGGAAGTGGGGCTGGGACCTAAATAGGTGTGAACCAATATTTTTCACATAACATATATAGAATATTTGATATGGATCAAACATAATTTAAGGGGCCTGGAGGACTGCAGATGACTGCTGAAGTTCATCAGTTCTCATGTTAAACAATGTGGGAGTGTCCAAACATGGACATTCCCAAAGATTATAAGATTGCCATTATTGCCATTATATCAATGGGAATTTCAGAATCCTAAAATGGAGGTACAGTACCACAAAAGGCCATATTTTGTGGGGATATTCCCTTACATTTGCCTTATATAGGCCTTATATATGGTAGGTACCTCCAGTTTAGGTTTGAGTATAGTTTAGTCTATTTTCAAATTGTGCGTCTATGTGTGTATACATATATATATATATACACAAGCAACTGTTTATATATGGATATTCCAAAGTTTGTTGGTTGTCGCCATGTTCATTCATGTTATCTCCATGAAACATCAGCTTGGCCCAGTGAAATCCATGGGTGAGTGTCCAACCAATGGGGAAAATCCAGCTGAGCCCCATTTGACACATATTTCTAGGATATGTGATATGTGGCTCAACCTCAGGGATTGGTTGGAAATAGGCTATCACCATTTTGATGCTATGGATGTCCTTTTCCTACCGATGAATGGAATGTTCCTTCTATTCAACAACCAATAGGTAAGAGGTAGATAGTAAGAATTTACCGCGCCGGCCCCGCAACATGTGTCCACAAAGGACAATATCGTTTGACGGTAATTCAACACAACTATGGAACATCACCATGTTCAACTGGTAAATCATCGACTGAATGCGCCATTTTTCCATAGCTATGTTAAATTACCATGGATGAGATGGTTTATCCTCTTTTTCCCTCATGTGCAATGATAGTTTTCGGGGTATCCCCCATTGGACAGGATAAACCCATTACCCAGAATTGTTGGCCATATTCCATTGTATCATATCCCCATTAAATCCCACTACATGCCCATTAAATCACAGTTTAAATCCCACTAAATCCTTTCTAAATCCTAATTAAATTTCCCTAAAAATCACCATTCAATCCCCTTTAGCCCCCCTTAAATCATTGAAATCCAAGTCTAAGTCCCCTTGAAAAATCACCATTCAGAAAACCCCCGTTTGAATCTGAAAAATCCACCCATTTTTATCATGTTCATCTCCTTTAGCATCGTTCCTGCGCGGGCGAGGAACGTCCATCCATGACGATGTTAGAGTGCACGAGCATCCGACAGGACCTGCATGTGGCAGAGTCCCCGCCCCTTGGATGATTTAAACATATGTTGATATGGGGACAAACAGTGGGAAAAGACACATGGGAAAAATATGTGCCGGTAATATCAACATATTATTGGGTTAACCATATATTAAATCACATGTTAATATATTTAATAATACTAAATTTGAAACATAGTAATATTATGGTTAATATTATGGTTAATATATGCAGTTAGTATCATGGGGGATGGTTGCGAAGTCCGAATCAGCAGTTGAAAACGGTGGTAAACATCCCATTATTCATAGGCTTTCAACCATCCTTTCGGCGGTGGTGCAGGCTTCCGCTGGCCCATCCACAGTATCATGGGGACAAACATGGGAAAACACAGTATTATGGGGACAAACATGGGAAAACACTGTATCATGGGGACAAACATGGGAAAACACAGTATCATGGGGACATACATGGGAAAACACAGTATCATGGGGACATACATGGGAAAACACAGTATCATGGGGACATACATGGGAAAACACAGTATCATAGGGACATACATGGGAAAACACAGTATCATGGGGACATACATGGGAAAACACAGTATCATGGGGACATACATGGGAAAACACAGTATCATGGGGACATACGTGGGAAAACACAGTATCATGGGGACATACATGGGAAAACACAGTATCATGGGGACAAACATGGGAAAACACAGTATCATGGGGACATACATGGGAAAACACAGTATCATGGGGACAAACATGGGAAAACACAGTATCATGGGGACATGGGAAACACACAGTATCATGGGGACATACATGGGAAAACACAGTATCATGGGGACACATGGGAAACACATCATGGGGACATACATGGGACATGGGAACACACACAGTATCATGGGACAAACATGGGAAAAACAGTATCATGGGGACAACATGGGAAAACACAGATCATACATGGGAAAACACACATACATGGGGACAAACATGGGAAAACACAGTATCATGGGGACATACATGGGAAAACACAGTATCATGGGGACATACATGGGAAACACAGTATCATGGGGACCTACATGGGAAAACACAGTATATGGGGACAAACATGGGAAAACACAGTATCATGGGGACATGGAACAACAACCAGGACATACATGGGAAAACACAGTATCATGGGGACATACATGGGAAAACACAGTATCATGGGGACATACATGGGAAAACACAGTATCATGGGGACATACATGGGAAAACACAGTATCATGGGGACATACATGGGAAAACACAGTATCATGGGGACATACATGGGAAAACACAGTATCATGGGGACAAACATGGGAAAACACAGTATCATGGGGACATACATGGGAAAACACAGTATCATGGGGACATACATGGGAAAACACAGTATCATGGGGACATACATGGGAAAACACAGTATCATGGGGACAAACATGGGAAAACACAGTATCATGGGGACATACATGGGAAACACCAAGTATCATACATGGGAAAACACAGTATCATGGGGACATTGGGAAAACACAGTATCATGGGGGGGAAAACACAGTATCATGGGGACAAACATGGGAAAACACAGTATCATGGGGACAAGTACATGGGAAAACACAGTATCATGGGGACAGTAACATGGGAAAACACAGTATCATGGGGACATCATGGGGACATACATGGGAAAACACAGTATCATGGGGACATACATGGGAAAACACAGTATCATGGGGACATACATGGGAAAACACAGTATCATGGGGACATACATGGGAAAACACAGTATCATGGGGACATACATGGGAAAACACAGTATCATGGGGACATACATGGGAAAACACAGTATCATGGGGACATACATGGGAAAACACAGTATCATGGGGACAAACATGGGAAAACACAGTATCATGGGGACATACATGGGAAAACACAGTATCATGGGGACATACATGGGAAAACACAGTATCATGGGGACATACATGGGAAAACACAGTATCATGGGGACAAACATGGGAAAACACAGTATCATGGGGACAAACATGGGAAAACACAGTATCATGGGGACATACATGGGAAAACACAGTATCATGGGGACATACATGGGAAAACACAGTATCATGGGGACATACATGGGAAAACACAGTATCATGGGGACATACATGGGAAAACACAGTATCATGGGGACATACATGGGAAAACACAGTATCATGGGGTGGGAAAACACAGTATCATGGGGACATACATGGGAAAACACAGTATCATGGGGGCATACATGGGAAAACACAGTATCATGGGGACATACATGGGAAAACACAGTATCATGGGGACATACATGGGAAAACACAGTATCATGGGGACATACATGGGAAAACACAGTATCATGGGGACATACATGGGAAAACACAGTATCATGGGGACAAACATGGAAAACACAGTATCATGGGGACATACATGGGAAAACACAGTATCATGGGGACATACATGGGAAAACACAGTATCATGGGGACATACATGGGAAAACACAGTATCATGGGGATCACATACATGGGAAAACACAGTATCATGGGGACATACATGGGAAAACACAGTATCATGGGGACATACATGGGAAAACACAGTATCATGGGGACATACATGGGAAAACACAGTATCATGGGGACATACATGGGAAAACACAGTATCATGGGGACAAACATGGGAAAACACAGTATCATGGGGACATACATGGGAAAACACAGTATCATGGGGACAAACATGGGAAAACACAGTATCATGGGGACATACATGGGAAAACACAGTATCATGGGGACATACATGGGAAAACACAGTATCATGGGGACATACATGGGAAAACACAGTATCATGGGGACATACATGGGAAAACACAGTATCATGGGGACAAACATGGGAAAACACAGTATCATGGGGACAAACATGGGAAAACACAGTATCATGGGGACAAACATGGGAAAACACAGTATCATGGGGACAAACATGGGAAAACACAGTATCATGGGGACAAACATGGGAAAACACAGTATCATGGGGACAAACATGGTTAATTCTGGTTAACAATGGGTAAAACCCTGGTTTTTTTAATGGTGGACAATGGTGGAGAATGGAAATCCAACTGGAGACTAAGCCCGACAGTCTCGGTGTCATGGTGATCCCATGGTGAAATCCTGCACCAGGCAGGGTAACTTCTGATGGATTTCGCAACCATCCACAGCATCATGGGAATTGAACCAGGCAACACTATGGCAATGGGCTTGTTTAGTCAGTGATTTTGTGCTTTCCCAATGGGAAATACAGAATCCATACCACATGTATTATGTTTCTTTCTTTTTGGGGCAGCAAATCCAAGTGTTTGACACATCAAAAATTGGACATTTAGCAGCCAAAATGGAACTTGACAGCACCGCACCATGAGGATGAAGGGATGGATAATTTTTTTGGGATTCAATTAATCTCCACCATCCCCATGATACTAACTGCATATATTAACCATATGTTAACCATATATTAACCATATACCCATTAGATAGGGCTTTGAACAATTGGGGAACTCACCACTTTTTTGAATGTCGGATATTTAAGGATCAAAAAAATAGAGATTGGGCCGTTGGGCCTTTGTCAAAGGTGACGTAGACGTTTTGTTCACAGCGAGCTCACATGGGTTTCTGTCAGAGAAGGGTTTTTCGGGGATTCAACTAGTCAAAAATATGATTGAGATACCCGGCCTGGTAAACTAGCATAACTAGCATAACTATTGAAAATGGCCCATAGAAATAGTTGATTTACCCATCACTAGCATGGTGATTTTACATAGTTATGTTTACCAGTTGGATTTACCCATTGATAGCATGGTGATTTTCCAGTTCGCAAAATGTAAACGTTTACCAGATGTTGAGTTTTCTGACTCGGTATTTCGCCAAGAGAAAAAAAAAACACTTTGATAAAGGGACCACATTGACATAAACTACACGACAAAGTTTATCATAAGTTTATGGTGATCCATTTATAAATGGCTTTAGATATATAACCATCTGTAAATTTGCTGCAACTGGAACATCAAGATCCGTGGGAACAAGGATACTAGCCGATTGCGGGGATATCCAACCCCACCATTTGTAAATGGGGTATATAGTATATGTCAGATGAATGCAGGGGATTTCCTGGGGTATTAAACCACTAATTTATAGCGGGATTCATGATCAAGAATATGAGGATATACTTTGGCTTTTGAAGAATAGTGTATAACATATGCATTTGTCTAAAATAGGATATCTTCGAAATCCCATGGTAAAAATCATCATTTTCCATACCAAACAGTGCTGCCCAGTTTTCTGGGGGATCAAATCTCTAAGTTCGTTGATAATTCTAGGGAGTTATATGTTATACTCTCTAATAACTTAACAGTTTGCTATTGAAAATTGCCATTTATAGTTGATTTACCCATTGGAAATGGTGATTTTCCATAGTTTTGTTAGTTTACCGAAGGGTATACTCTCTGACAAATTAACTGTTTGACCCTGAAAATCATCAATTTCTAGTGGAAACTAATTTGCAAAACCCTTATCTGGCAGGTTTTTTTAATGTTAATTTACTGGAGGGTATAAGTTATATTTATTTATATTCCCTAATGAAGACTTGTCATAATCTATCGGAATCCTGTTTATCGCCACTGCCCAAGTGGCTTTCATTAGGAACGTAGCCAACTAGAAACGGAGGTTTGCCAACTAGAAACGGGGGTATAGAAACACCTAGCTGGAGTGCTTGAACCCCCCTGATGCAGGACTTACATCATAACGACCAAAAATCACCGACCAAACCCAATAAATGATGTATATAATATACTGAATGTTCCAAAAGTATATGTATACAGAGTAGTCATTATACGGTGTATAGTACATATCTGTATATATATATGTATCTTTGCAATTTGCTTTACTTGCATCGATTGATTCACCTGGGTGCAGTATCATTTTGTGATACCATTTTGAGGTGATATTTGATCGATCCGGTTGGGGAATCCCATGGGTTTTCCCGAACTCAATGGAGGTTTCCAATGGTTTTCATGGGAATATCCTCAGTTTGGGCGTAGTCATCCCTTGCCACCGCAGTCGTCGCTGAGTTTGGGATCGCCCTCGTCTGTGGGTCGAAGCAGCAGCAACAGCAGTGCTGGTCAGTTGCGTTCCAGGCGCCCCGCAGTCGGCGCGGAGTCGCGGAGTCGTCCCGCCCGTGCTAACCATATCGATTTCTCTATCTATATCTGGATCTCTATCTCTATCTCAGTCTATCTCTCTATCTGTTTCTCTATCCATTTCTCTATCCATTTCTCTATCTCTATCTCAGCCTATCTCTCTATCTGTTTCTCTATCCATTTCTCTATCCATTTCTCTATCTATATCTCAGTGTATCTCTCTATCTGTTTCTCTATCCGTTTCTCTATCTCTATCTCTATCTCAGTCCATCTCTCTATCTGTTTCTCTATCCATTTCTCTATCTCTATCTCTATCTCAGTCCATCTCTCTATCTCTGTTTCTCTATCCATTTCTCTATCTATATCTCTATCTCAGTCTATCTCTCTATCTGTTTCTCTATCCATTTCTCTATCTCTATCTCTATCTCAGTCCATCTCTCTATCTCTGTTTCTCTATCCATGTCTCTATCTATATCTCTATCTCAGTCCATCTCTCTATCTCTGTTTCTCTATCCATTTCTCTATCTATATCTCTATCTCAGTCTATCTCTCTATCTGTTTCTCTATCCATTTCTCTATCTCTATCTCTATCTCAGTCCATCTCTCTATCTCTGTTTCTCTATCCATGTCTCTATCTATATCTCTATCTCAGTCCATCTCTCTATCTCTGTTTCTCTATCCATTTCTCTATCTATATCTCTATCTCAGTCTAGAACTCACTGGAAGCCATGTTATGGCCCATACATTATGATTAACTGCAGCCCCATGATTTTATCATGGTTGCTGTGGTAAAATTTTCATTTTTCGGAGTGAACAATCGCCATTTTCGGATGATCAATATGTTTATAGGGAGTTCCTAAAATGGGGCACCACCAAAACCATAGGTTTCAATACTAAGTCATGGTCATCCATGACTTGGATGATTTGGGAATATACCCATTAAAATACCACAAGTAGATCTATGATTTTGTATCATAGATGTACAATCCACTATTAGATATAGCTATATATATATATACAAATATCGTATATCATATGAACAGATTCACGGCTCTGTTGCTGGAGTTGTTAATCATGTTGGGTCATGTTGTCACTCAACACTATACTGTGGATGTTTGCGAAGTCCTGCACCGGTTGGTAGATGGGCAGAAAAAATCCCTCTATAACCGCCTAGAACCCCGTTATTTTAACAGTGTTTTATAGGAATCCCAATAGTTCCCAATCATAGGTCATAAATGTGGAAATTATAAAACACTGTAAATATATGGGTCATAGTTACCATAGTCATTTACAAATAATAGTTCCCAACCATAATGAAACCATAGATTTGTAGGTTGGGAACTATTGTAGTTGGTTTCATTGTAACCATAGATAACCATAAATAACCATAGTTTTATAGAAGTCAAAATGAAACTCCATGTGAAATAGTCATTAGGTTACCATTTTCCTAGATTCAATCAGCATTAAATGAAACCGTAGATTTATAGGCTATATAAATCTTAATGAATAGTTAGTTTACCAGAGGGTATAATATCTTATCAACTGACAATACTTTACCAATATCCTAACAATAGTTTTACAGCGTTTTATTGTTGCCAATAGTTGCCATTGAGGTTATAAATCTCCTCAATGACTCAGATAGTTTCCAATAGTTGCCAATGAGTTGTTTTCTTTGTTACCAGTAGTTACCAATCAAATAGTTACCAATAGTTACTCAATAAGGTTGCCATGAGAACTCCATTTTTCAAACAATAAAACATGAATATTGGTTACTATAGCCTATATAAACGGGAATAGTTACCATTGTCTTACTGGTGCTAAACGCATGGAATTTTCGGGAATGATCCACTGGCTGACTATCAATAATCATCCCAGCAACCCCCAGCAACCCATCCATTCCCTACGTTTAGCACCAGTAAGTAATAGTGGTTTAATTAAGGGATTCACCTTTCCAGATAGTTAAGATAGTCAATAAAAAACCTCATGTCAATATGGTAAACTGTTTATGGTGATTTATAACCATTATTAACAATATGGCCATATTTAATATTTATTATGACCAGTATTATTGTTAATATGGCCTATCATTGTTACTTCCGGTTGCCATTGAGGTTGTAAATCTCCACGAATCTCTTTAAAAAAAAAACATTCAGCACAGGTCATCTCGTGACTCCCGAGAACTCAGCCCATGGCGCAGCCTGAAGGCGCAACCGTTTGTGAAAAGTTATAGCACCTTCCCAGGTGTAGAAATTTACCGTTGGTTAAACGGTTAAACAGATCTAAATTTAAAGATCTATGATCTGATTGGTGGTGACTGGAACCATGGAATTAGAAATGACTTTCCCATCATATTGGGAATGTCATTTTATCCCAACTGACGAACTCCATCATTTTTCAGAGGGGTTGAAACCACCAACTAGTAAAGATCTATGATGATCTACCGTAAATTCCGAGTTAACTTAGTTAACTTTAGTTAAGGGAATAGCAATTTAGCTATCAAGAGAGGGCACCACTATGTAGAACTCTGGGTATCCATTGAAATATGTGGCAAGAACGCAGCAAAAATGTATTGACCATGCCTTTTCTCAATGAAATTGGTCGTTTCGGGGATGTACCTGATTTTGAGATAGACCCATGTATGGAAATATGTGCTGGACAATCAGGGATTTAGGCAACATTTTTATTGGGACTTACCGGAGCAATCATTCAGATCCAACTGAGATATACGGGTTTGTCCAAAAAATCAAGGCCAATTCAATAGAAAAGAGGATTTTGTAAACCATTGCATTTGAGGCTACCCTCTTTTCAGACATAGATTAAGCCATATCGCAAGGCTAAGCCACTAAGGCGAATTGGCATCCCCTTCAGGAACCCATCCCCATAGGCCCAATGGGGGTTTCCATCAATGGCGGTAGCCCAGTAGCATCATCCATGTGATCTTCGGAGGTTTTCCATGAAATTTCTACCATCCCATAGTACCATAGGGTACACAACCGAAAATAAAAAGCATAATTCACCACCATTGTGAAGCCTCAGCCATAGATGAACTAGATTAACATGGTTTTCTGGTTTTAGAACTAGATGAACCACCAACCATCACTAACCATTATTGTAAGCCCCTTAAATCAGCCTTGTCTTCGGGTCTCCCCAGGTCCCACAGCTTGACGCCTTCAGCCAGGTCATGTTGGCCGCAGATGACCCGAAGAATGTGCGCTTCGAACGACGCCTGAGTGCTACGGGAGACGATGTGAAGTGCAGGCGCCTTTTGCTGGTGTTTTAAGTGGAAGACAAGGCCCCAATTTTCAAAAAAACTGGTTATAGAATGGTATAGATCCTATGATATCCATTAGATATCCTGTTTTATTGGATTATAAATTCGTGTTGATTGAGGATGGTTTTTTTTATTTGGATGAATGGGATGGTCAAAAATTTTCATGGTGTTTTCTGATCCTTTTAGGATGTTGATGCTGTGGTGTTTACCCACTAGACCACCATCCCAATCAATCCCATTTTTTTGTCCAACGATTTGGGATCATTTTATATACCCCACCATTACCAGAGGCTTAATCGCATCATATATCCCATTAAACACCATTAAATCCCATTAAACACCATTAAATCCCATTAGATCACCATTATATATATACCCTCTGGTTATTTAACATAGCTATGGACAATGACCCATTTACAGATGATTTTCCCAGCTAGAAACCTCCATTTACAATGGATTTTCCATAGCTATGTTAAATAACCAGATGGTATATTATCCCTAGCCGCTATACCATAACCTCTATTTGTGAAGGCTTATGAGTGGCTTTACCACATGAATGAGTGGCTGGTTTTTCGTTCATTCACCCTTTGAAACCACTGGATCATTGGATTGGTTTTGGGAAAATCGACACCGGAAACCCATGGTTTTTTTTAACCATTACCCTCTGGTAAACTAACAGTTTGCGAACTGGAAAAGCACCATTTTTTAATGGGTAAATCAACTATCAATGGCCATTTTCCAGTTCGCAAACTGAAAAAAAGTCATTACCAGAGGCTTAATCCCATCATATATCCCATTAAAACACCATTAAAACACCATTAAATCCCATAAGTCATTACCAGAGGGTATACCATTTAAATCTGGGGGTTTCCAGTCAATTTTCCCGTGCCCATCCAATGACTGGATGGCTTCAACAACGCTCCTGATCGGCTCCTCATGTGTCATCAGTTGGCTTAGGAGCCATCAGCCATAGTTTTTTTCACATTTTTTTCCCAGCTATCAACCATGATTTACCCTCTGGTAAACTAACTTAGCTATTGATTTAATGGGATTTAATGGGATTTAATTGGATTTATTAGGATATATGACGGTATACCCTCTGGTAAACTAACAGTTTGCTATTGAACATTGCCATTGAAATAGTGAGTTTTCCCATTAATAGCATTGTGATTTTCCATAGTTATGTAAACGTTTACCAGAGGGTAACCGACATTTTCTTGCGGGGATTTCTATTGTTATGTTTGATGACACCAGGGCAACCGGAGGGTCGAAATGATGAAAACGGCACTTTGTGGGATCCCCTAGTCTGCGTCTGCAAGGCAAGATGAGTTCAGCCCTGCCTTTCGCACACGAACTGCCGCTCGTTCTAAAAGAGTGGTTTTTTTTGTGGGCGCTGGGGCCTACGGATGATAAGGATGATACTTGAATCAATTGAAGGTCCATATTGCCTCGAATCATGACTAGTTTGTGTATATTTAGATGTCATTTTCTCTTTGTTTTTTAAAGCATGTCTTGGATGATAAGCAGTTGGATCAGTTGGGAGAACTTGAGGATGTGTCCCTGTCAATCCTGTCCTATCAATCCCTAATAATCCCAGAATACTCAGAGCACCAGCGATGATTTGTGATTGCATCCACGGTAGCCGTTCCTATTCTGGTTGATGGTTTCAAACATTTTTTATTTTCCAATTTTTCCATAATATATGGGATAATCCTTCCCATTGACTTTCATATTTTTCAAGATGGTTAAGTCACCACCAACCAGCTATTTGTAGCCAAGGAGTTTTCTACAGTCAATCTTCCAACATTTTTGTCTGCTGCGTTGCACGAGCATTACATACAGTGCCCAAATAGGAGTTTCTTAAAATGGTGGATCCCCAAGTCACCATTGCTGTTTCAATACTAAGTCATCTGGGTAAATTATAACGACCTCACTGCGACCTCACTGGAATCATGGTTGGTAAGAGGAATTATCCCAAAATTGCCTTATTTCAGGTTAGTGAATTATTATAATTTACCCAGAGTCATGGTCTAATGACTTGGATGATTTGGGGGTACCCGCATGACTTAGGAAAAAAGACCATTAAGTACAGTTCTATCTAGCATATCTAGCATAAACCATAGTTACAGTAAATATAGTTAACCTATGTTAACCCATGCAGTTATACTCACCAACTTAGCTAAGGACCTGGGGTACAAAAACGGTCGCATTTCTATTGTATTCCATCCTTGACGGATGCAGAGCGATCTAAGCCTGCCGGCAGGTGAAACAGATCCACTTTTCGGGGGGATGGTGCTCAAATATCCATAAAAAATCCCAAGCGAAAATCCCGCAACTGGTTGGTGGTTTCACCCCATGGTATAATAGGGATTAATATAGGGGATAAACCCATTGGATATAGGGGATAAACTCATTGGATAATATACTGGTTGGTGGTTTGGAACCATGGAATTTTATGACTTTCCCATCATATTGGGAATGTCATTTTATCCCAACTGACGAACTCACTCCATCATTTTTCAGAGGGGTAGGTATACTATACCACCAACCAGCAATTAAATCCCAGAAAATCATACAACATCACTACCCTCTGGTAATTTAAGATAGCTATTGAAAATGGCCATAGAAATAGTGAGTTTCCCATTAATAGCATTGTGATTTTCCATAGTTATGTAAACGTTTACCAGAGGGTATGAAATCCGGCATTGCATCACCATGAACTCCCCCATCCAATCGCCATAGTTGGTCACCCGGATCCAGCAGTTGGTCATCCGGATCCAGGGACCCAGCAGCTCCAGCACTCAGGCGATTAGCTCGGCGCAACAACCACAAAAGAAGTCCGAGCAAAACATGTCACCAGCAGCTCGTCGAGATGTGACGATTAAAAAAAAAAGCGCGAAAGGTGGATATTTTGGAAAGGTGGATATTTTTTGGGGGATAGATTAATTGTGGTTTTTATTTTGTTTGAACATGGTTATATGATGTTGTATTGATATGCTTATGGTGATGAGAAAAGTTCTTTTAGGACAGTTGATGAATGTCCATTAATTAATCCTCAAAAATGGTGATATTATGGCGATTGAATGAGATGTTATGGGAGTATGGATGAAAATTGGTGTTCTTTGTGGCCGGTACAGAATGAGGAAATATAGCTGCTTGTTGGATATGATGGTTATAATTTATGATTGGGAATATCTGAAATATTTTTGGCAAATAGCTGAAATAATGTGGTTAAAACAATAATAAACCATCCCCCAAATCACCATAAATGGGTGGGATTTCAACCATTCCCAGTCATGGGTGGTAAACATGACATTGTTTTAACCACATTAATTGAAATGTTCACTGAACTAAGGATTTACATCCCAGGTTTTGAGTACATGGACCAAAGATAGGAATGCTTGGGGAGTGGCCCAATAGGGATGGTGATGGTCCGGTCATCCTTGTGAGCCATGGGGGTTCTACCTCCAGCCTACGCTGTTTGACAGAGGGTGATTGGGAGATATCATTGAGATTAGTTAGGATATGGTGTGTTTTTTACCCTCTGGTAACCATACAAAAAACTATGGAAAGAGATCCACCATGCGAAAAAAAATGGAAAATCCACTATTTCGACTGGGTCATTTTCAATGTCGCAAACTGTTAGTCATTACCAGAGGGTAAATGGATTTACCAATGAACTATATTAGTGAGTCTAAAGATGTGGCAGATCGGAAAATGATGAGAAACCATGGGTCGTTGGCTGTGGTTTCCCCTAATTTTGCAGGTCCCTGAGGCTGGGACTCATACTTCTCGTCGAAGGAAGTTTGGAAGTCAAACTTCCGACAACAGTAGTGTTTATTGGCACTATGATCACATATCTCTGTCGCCAACTTGTTCTTTATACATTTTATACCGAATATCTGTGCAGGATTTCAATCACCCGTACTTATTTTCAGTTTATTAGCAGTTACCCCTTGTATTTGACAAAGTTTTTGCACACAACAGACAATAGAATACATCTGGAAAACCTAGATGAATATCGAATATCTCTGTCATCTCCGTGGCATGTGTCAACTTTATCTTGTGAGACCAACCAGCACAGTATTTGGCGTCAAACAACGGTAAAACCTTGGGTTTTGGGGCCGGGCCTTGTGGCTTGAGTTGTGAAAGTGCCCCAAGAATCACATTTATTTTATTTATTTTCAGCCAGTGATTTTTCCAACATGGGAATGCAGACACGCATATGATAATTCTACCAAATTATACCATACTGGTTGGTGGTTTGGAACATGAATTTTATTTTCCCCAATCGTTGGGATGATGATCCAATCTGACTTTCATATTTTTCAGAGGGGTAGGTCAACCACCAACCAGTATTGTAATGCAATTTTTGTTGAGATACCCGATGGATGAGACACCATGAGTTTTAATCTCATATCCCAATGTTTACTAGAGGGTATATCCACAAATCCCTCCAAAAATCAAAAAAGTCCAAGGTTTGGCTAGCTATCAATGTCCTACTGTCCTACTTTTTTTAAAAATGTTTTCTGATGGTGTTCTTCCAGGTTTTTTCTGAGCCCTGATAAGCCGGGGTTGGATCCCTATGACCCTAATCTCATGTATCAGAGACGTAGGATCCACTGTTAGATATAATATATATATAGATATAATCCAGATTTATAATATATATATATACATATATATATATATATGTGATTAATTATATATATAATTATATGTATATAAATCTACTAATCACTAGCAAATCCCATTTTCAATAACCAGTTCATTCACCATCAATGCTATAAAAACCAGGTGTGGCTCTTCTGCGCGGGGCCATCTTTGGAACGTGCTCGACCATTGGTGGCCGGCCTCAAGAAATCCAACGTGGAGGCGAGCAGCGATGCCCAGCGATGCCATCTTTAAGGAGAAATTTCACCATGGAGGTATGGGAAAATATCATGGGATATATATATATATAATGAAATAACTATTATACCAATAACTATGGTTTATATTAAATATCAATGGTATACCATATCATCTTTGGAGGTACTGGAGTTATTTGGAGGTAATAAGATATAAAGATAGCTCCATATATAGATATAACTAACTATAGTTAATGGTTTATGGTAGATATAACTAACTTTTTGGTAATAAGTTCATGGGATATGGTATGAAATAATATAGGTCTAATGGTATAACTCCAAGAACTATGGTTTATATAGTACTTATAGTACTTATAACTATAATGAAATCATATACCCTCTGGTTATTGATGCCCAATGATAAGTTGGTTGAAAAACCTCATTAACTATAGTTAGTTATATCTACCATAAACTATAGTGAAACCATTTATAGATATTAACATAGCCATGGTATAAATGGTTTCACTATAGTTTATGGTATAGATATTAACATAGCCATGGTACCATAATCTACCATAGTTACCCTCTGGTCATTTAACATAGCCATGGTATAGATGGCCCATAGAAATAGATGGTTTACCTATTAATAGCATGGTGATTTTCCATGGCTATGTTAAATAACCAAATGGTAAGATTGACCTAGAAGAAATGGGATAGTTTGCCTCTGGTAAACATGACTAACAGTTTGTTACAACTGGAAGCCATGGCCCAATCGAAATCGTGGATTTACCCAGATTTTTTCGCATGGTGGATCTTTCCATTGTTTTTTGTATGTTTTTTGTTAACGTTTACTGGAGGGTACACTACACAACCTGGGATTTGCCCTTTCAAAAGGGTGGGATTATTCTTGATATCACCATGAAAAAGGTGGGTTTTTTCGTCGAATGAAAAAGGGTCCTGCAGATGTTCCGGAAAAAACAGTGGGAAAATAGCCTTGTTGATGGTTAAGAATATGGGTCATGTTTATAACCTAAATGGGTTTAACTACTGTATCAAATATAAGACGTGTACGGTGTTTTAACTTAGGCTAGTAGCGGGTCATTCACCTACCTGCTTTATTTATGATTTAAAAAAACATGATAACCAATTTCATAGGGATCAGCAACTTATATCAATATATCAATGATATATCATGATATATCCTCGGATTGGTTCACACTCCCCATGTTGTTCAAACTCAGCCGTTGTCATATCTTGTCCTTATCATTCTTAACAGCCGTTTTCGGCCTTGCAAACCACCAGGTGAATATCAGGACAGACGACCACCTCAACTCCGCGAACCCACCCATTAAGAGTGGTGACTTTGCGCCTTGATCCTCTCAACCCGTTGGGAGTGCCATGAAATGCCATGAATTTGTTCTCATATGAATATATGAGGAGTACCAGGTGGTGATATCTATATAGATTTTCTGGTTTCAAATCTCCGAAAATTGCAGGTTCATCTCCCATTGTTCTTGGTAAACATCCAAATGTTATGTCCCTGACAATCTGAAGAGTCACCTGAAGGTATACAAGTCTCAGCTGCCATGGTTGTAGCAATACATGCTTTCATTCTGTATCCTTTTTTGGCACAACAAAAGTAATCAGCAACAATCAGCAAATGATGACGGATCCTGAGCGGCACAGCACTGCAAAACCTGTGTTTTCAAATGCATGTTTTTCTACAGGATGGAGCCCCCAAGATAGCCCCAAGATAGCTAAGTTGGTTTATAAGTGGCTGAATTCTATGGTTTATGGTAGATATAACTATGGTTAATGGGGATTATTTCATGGTTGATAAACCAACTTATAACTGGGGGGCCCCATCCTGTAGGTTACTAGGTCAATCTTAGATGGGTACAAACTAATCCTAACTAGTCTGTTGGTATCAATGGGAATATCCACGTTCACCAGCAAAGAATTTGTCATTTTTTTGCAGGGTATCTGGCTGATCGGCAATGGTTAAAGATTCCCGTGGAAGAAAATCATTGAAATCAACAACTGGTTGGTGGTTTGGAACATTTTTTATTTTCCCATATATTGGGAATTTCATCATCCCAACTGACTTTCACTCCATCATTTTTCAGAGGGCTTGGTTCAACCACCAACCAGATTCCCATTGTGGAAGAACATCATTGAAATCAACAATGGGAAAATCAGGACCCTATGCAGGGATTGGTAACTGTCCCATTTTGGGAATATTGGACATCACCTAAAAAAGTAGCCATCTAGTAGACCATATACCTAATGGTTGGGTGATGTTCAATGGGGACATTTAATGACCCATGTAAACCAACGATCTCAGGTGCTGGTTCTCTGGTCCCAGTTCTTCACGGGACCTCATGGCGAGCGCTTGGCGGAGATTTGCGATGCGGCGGGTGCCTTGCCCGGCCTGGAATCTGCGGTAAACCGGGCCTGGTACCCTCTGGTTATGTCAACGTAGCTATGGAAAATGGCCATTTATAGTGAGTTTTCCCATTGAAAATGGTGATTTTCCATAGTTATGTTAATTTACCAGAGGGTAAAGTCACAGTTCACTATGGAAAGATCCAGCATTAATGGGAAAAGCATGGGAAAACCATTGGGAAATGGTGATTTATATGGAAAGATCCACCATGCTATGTAGCTGGGTAAATCCACGACATTTCGACTGGGCCATTTGAACAATAGCTTACTGTGAATGTTTACCAGAGGGTATCCGGGGGTGAACTCAGGGAACTAAGGAGCTCTAGATCTCCATATGAGCGGAAGCCAAGGGGCTATCATCAGAGTTTCCCAAGAAGTTGTTTTTTTTCAGTGGCTGAATTCAATGGTTTTTGGTAGATATACCCTCTGGTTATTCAACATAGCCATGGAAAATGGCCCATTTATAGTGGATTTTCCTATTAAAACCTCCATTTATGAGGGATTTTCCATGGCTATGTTAAATAACCAGATGGTAACTATAGTTAATGGGGATTATTTCATGGTTTATAAACCAACTTATAATTGGGGGGCCCCATCCTGTACCAAGTGGAGATGCCTTTTGGCAGTCAAACGTAACAATGGAAAGCTCCCCATTGACGGATTATTTTCCCAGCTAGGAACTTCCATGGATAGGAAATCTTCCAGCTAGCCACGTTTGATGACACCAGAGGGTAAGTGCCCTCTGGTAAACAAACATAACTATGGAAAATCACAATTTTTAATTGGAAAATCCACTATAACTGGCCATTTTCAATAGCTATGTTAGTTTACCAGAGGGTATATCATCTACTTTTGTAGAGTGTTAAACTGTCAGACCAAAAAGAGTTCAGGAAATGGTCGCCACACAGTCGCCAAATTCTCTGCCGGGATGTTCCCCGAACTTCGGATGGGATCTAACTGGCGTCAGTCTGCTTCATGGATGCCCTTCTGTTCGGCTTCATAGAGGGTAGAACCCCAACAACCAATAGGTGATGATGTTATCGCTACGCCAAACCGAGTCTATTTTTCCCAGAAGGACATATTATTGGAAAGCTAAAACATGTTCAATGTTTGCTATGACAGTAATGTGGTTAAAAGAATAATAAACCATCCCCCAAATCACCATAAATAGATGCTATAAACCATTCCCAAATGGGTGGTTTATTATTGTTTGAACCACATTACTAGATTCTTCGAGTATACTTTGCCTCTTGAATTTATCATCTTGTCTCGTAGATGGTTTCAGTAGGACAACGTACCTCGTGGCACTCGTGGTGAGTTCATAGGGCATCTCGGACAATGGATTGTTTGGTGCCGGATGACACAAGTTTACAATTGGAAGAAGTGTGTTTTATTCATTTTTGACGCCATCATCACTAATTAGTATATTTCGGACCTCCCTTCTTTGATATTAAGGTTCCATTGTTCAACGGTATGATTATTTGCAGGAAACCATGGCTTTGCCCATCAAGTACAGGGCTGAAACCATGGTTTTCCTATGCCCTTCATCCAATGAGTGTTGTTTCATCCAGTGTTTCTGCCATTTCTTGTGCCTTTAAATCACCATGCTAGCAATGGCTAAATCAACTATTTCTATGGCCTTAACTAAAATAGCAAACTGTTAGTTTACCAGAGGCTATACCATCATTAATCCCATTAAATCCCATTGAAGCCCATTAAATCCCACTTTAATCCCAGATGATAAGCCGGTGCCGGTGCTGAGACAAAACAAAAGCGCGGGTGTTGAACGACATCAAGAAGTTGCAAAGCATGCAGGCCATACCGGATGAGCAGATGGGGATGGTGTTTACACTCTAACATGGCGGGACGTTGGAAAAATCATAGGAAAATGTAGGACAATACGGAAAATCATAGGAAAATATAGGGAATAATAACTAAACAATGGGAAAATCATAGGAAAATATACAGTAGGACACATGTGTGAAAATCCACTCCAAATGGAGGTTTGTAGCTGGGAAAATCATCTACTGTATAAATTGTGGATTTTCAATTGCCACGTTTGATTACCAGAGGGTAGCCACCAAAATATCCAAAGGTGATTTTAGCAATAACTAATATCAACCCAGGATTTACAAACCCCTAGTTCACCAACTGGGGTGGTACCAATTTACAAAGGGAAACATCACTAAACTGGGGTGTAAGCTGCCAACATGATCCATTATTCTTGACTGGGCAGAGCCTGGTGTTTAGGCTGTGAATGGATTTGTTGTGAATGGGCTGTGCATGTACCCTCTGGTTATTTAACATAGCCATGGAAAATCACAATTTTTAATAGGTAAACCATCTATATACCATCTATATATAAATGGGCCATTTTCCATGGCTATGTTAAATAACCAGAGGGTAAATGTAGGAGTATACAATGCTACGACACATGCGCTTGGATATTTGTTCTGAAATATCAACAGTTGCGGGCAATTTCATGGGTTGCATGCCCCTTTCTGCCAGGGAACAACAAACCAAGAAGAGATGTAGAAGACAATCAAAGTGCAAAAAATAAATGGTGTTTAATCTTCACAACCAATAGAAACCTCAAGAAAAAATTGAAACCCGAACTTCCGAACATCGTGGGATTACACAAGCATTCCCCAGGTGCTTTTCATGGCGTACCAATGGACCCAGAAGTGGAAAAGTCATCCTGACGTACTCAGCTCATAGGAGTCAATGGAGTGATTTTGCCACCCGCAACTTTGCGCCAAAATGAGTTATCGTTATATAGTTATAGTATGTTATAGTTATAGTTATAATTATAGCGATGGTATCTCGAATATTTCTGGCTAGAAGTAAATTGAACTAGACATCAAGTATCATCAGGTAGTTTCAAAACTGAGTAGCTGGTATAGAATTGGCCACCTACTTTCATCCATCTGCCGTGTGTTGAGTTTTGGTACTACGGAGATCACATAGTTAGGATGATAGATGATACCAGCCCAACCTATGGTGTGTTTGACAGTGTCTACCAAGAATGCAATAAACTTCTCATACTGCGACAGTGTTTCCCATGAGAGTAGGATAAGGGAAATGACCATGGGTCACTGCCGGCCCCATAGTTTAGGATTCTTGAAAATTCAACCAATGAAAATGTCGCCATAGATGATCTTGGTTTGGAAATTCAAGTAGACTCTACAGGATGGGCCCCCCCAGTTATAAGTTGGTTTATAAACCAATTTTTAATCATCATTAACTATAGTTATATCTACCATAAACCATTGTTAAGCCACTTCTAAACCAACTTAGCTATCTTGGGGGCCCCATCCTGTACAAAGTTGTTTTTTTGGAATATCATTGCCAGAACATAATAAAATAAGACAAACAATTTGACAATCTGGTTTGTTGGGGGATCAAATATCCAAGCTTAGCCCAGGACGCTCCAACGAATGAATTGCCAGCAGTTTTTGTCACTTTCCAACCCCTTTCCCGTGTGCCTCTGCCATGGTTTCCTGGAGAGGATCGTCGATGGCTACTGAAGAAACTTCAGGCGCGGCTACTGAAGAGCAGCGGAAAACAAGGGGAGTGTGAACCAGAGGCAGATGTGCAAAAATGCCTCGGTGCTTCAGAACATTTAAATCGCGTAACTTTTGCATTTATGTTACATATCCATGCAACACCATGTCATTAACTGACTGTATTGATGTTTCAACATGTTTCAACCCTGACAATTCGGGAGATTGGATGATCAAGTGCCTTGGTAAGTCATAGCGACCTTGCTACAAGATGGGCACCCCCAGTTATAAGTTGGTTTATAAACCAATTTTTAATCATCATTAACTATAGTTATATCTACCATAAACCATTGTTAAGCCACTTATAAACCAACTTAGCTATCTTGGGGGCCCCATCCTGTACGTCCAAAAAAACTTCACGGGGATCCTCGGAACCCCCCAAAGACTTCATCAAAGATAAACGTCACGGCTTGAGTAGCAAGCAAGTCACCTGTAGCTGGAACATCCATTGGACATACCTGGGTCAATCTTAGATGGATACAAACTAATCCTAACTAGTCTTTTGGTGAATTGTATCTACTCACCAGCAAAGAATTTGTCATTTTTTGCAGGGTGTCTGGCTGATTGGCAATGATACTGGTTGGTGGTTTCAAAGATTTTTTATTTTCCATAATATATGGGATAATCATCCCAACTGACTAATATTTTTCAATGGGGTAGGTCAACCACCAACCAGGATATGGCGTTTTCATGTTGACGTTTGTTTGAAACGCTGTGACTTGGTGATTGACCACCATCCCCCCAAATATTCAACACCCCTCTGGCACCATGGTCCCAGTTGGACAATCCCTACTCAACCATGGTACCATGGGTTTCGTGTTATGGGGGTGTTTTTCATGTTACCCTCTGGTAATTTAACAGTTTGCTATTGAAAATGGCCATAGAAATAGTGGATTTTCCCATTAATAGCATGGTGATTTTCCATTGTTATGTAAACGTTTACCAGAGGGTATGGGGCAGGGATCACTAACATTTGAGTTCAATGGCGGATAAGCAACCACTGGCCACGCTGGATTTCCGGCTTTTGGCTCACCGAACTTCGTGGAGGTCACTCTGTCATAAACCAATAGAATCATAGGGATTTGCCGGAAGAATGAACGGGATACCCCAAGGTGTTGCTATTCTAATGGGGAAAGTGCTATGTGTCTATATATATATATATACTTTTGTACACATAACACATATACAGATGAAGAAACCACATGAATCAACCATGAAATTGCGCTGGTGATCCGAAATCTTCAGACAAAACCCGTCAGCATCTTCCCGGAAAAAGTTGTCCTACCCACAAACCGCTGCAAGGACCATGGCTTGCCAACACCGCACTTTGTGGAATGCTCACGTTTGGGGAACCCGGAGAACTGTCAGCGGATTTCCGCCGAAAGAATGGGAAAGATGCTAAAAGATCGCTAGATTTTCAGACAACCCCGATGTATATAATATATATATATATGTACAGGATGGCCCCCCCCAGTTATAAGTTGGTTTATAAACCATTATAACCATCATTAACTATGGTTATATCTACCATAAACCCATTGTTAAGCCACTTATAAACCAACTTAGCTATCTTGGGGGCCCTATTGTGTATATATATATATTATGTACAATTATGTACATGTGTGTATATATATACACACAGTTACCCCCTGGTAAACAAACATAACTATGGAAATTCACCATGCTATTTATGGGTAAATCAATAGCAAACACCCCTGGGGATGGTCCTGGTATGGACAGTGAATGGATCTGGGGATTGGCCTGGGGGACCCATACCATGGGAGGTCCAGCAACACAGAACACTGTACCATATATGAGTATGAGGCCCACGAGGGAGACAGGTCGTATTTTTTGGTCATATTTTGGTTTATGCTTCCACGTTTGACGTCGTAACAACACAATTTTCTATGCATCTCATCTGGTTGGTGGTTTGGAACATGAATTTCATTTTTCCATATATTGGGAATAATCATCCCAACTGAATAATATTTTCAGAGGGGCACATGCCAACAAGTCACAGGTAAACTTTCATATTTCCAACCGGTCCTATCCTCTATCATCCCATATCATCCATGTTTTTTGCTTCTGGATTTCGATGTCAAGTTAACATTCAGAAGTACCATTCATTAGCATAATTATTAATTATACCAATTGTTAATATATCATAGTTACCCATTGATTGATATAATTACCGTAATTACCAGAGTTACCCATGGATTTTGACATCAAATTACCATGAAAACTCCACCAGGGAAGTCCGAAGAACTCGTCCAGCCCCGAAATCTTCGAGGTGACGGTGGCCCTGATGTACCTGACACACAGATCGAGGTCCCTTGGGTGTTTGTTGGAGACGTCCCCCAGGCAGTGTGTCGGAAATCTCCAGATGGGTCTGGATCAAAATCGGCCCAATCACTAGATGGAATTTTTATGAAACTGGTTGGTGGTTTGGAACATGAATTTTATTTTTCCATATATTGAGAATCATCATCCCATTTGACTAATATTTATATATATTTTCAGAGGGGTAGGTCAACCACCACAACCAGAAATGTTCACTGTTGAAAACATGTCCTGGCTGATTCGAAATGAGGAACATGTGGCATGACTTGGGTCCAGTTGGCATCGTCATCCTGGTGGTTGTTTTCGTAGTACAAATGCCGAGTTCGCCCATTTGGGGTTGATTGGGAGACATTGCCAAATGGGTATGGGTCAATACCTATTAATACCATTTTTAGTGGGATGAACATCCATTTACCAGCTATTTTGGGGTTCACTAGGTACCAGGGTTTTGACCCATCCCCAAATATTGTGTTGAGTGTTTCTTAAACATGTTTTTCATCCCTCGATCATGACAATTTTGTTCATGAAAGTGGGTTGCATTCCAGTTGGTTTGTGAAGAGACAGTTTCATTGTTGATCATCATCACAATCAGCAGCAGCATTATCACCATCATGATCATCATGATCATCATGATCATCATGATCATCATGATCATCATGATCATCATGATCATCATCATCATCATGATCATCATCATCATCATGATCATCATCATCATCATGATCATCATCATCATCATCATCATCATGATCATGATCATCATCATCATCATCATGTTGACTGTAAAAAAAACACTCCTGTAACACAGCCTGTGCTTCACTGAAACTCACTATTTTTTTGAATTGGGGGTATACATGGGTATACCACCTACTGTATCGTACCCTTCAAACATAACTATTAACATACAGATACATAAAGCAATCTACCATCACTTTGAGAAAAACAAAATCCATCGTTTTTTCTGTTTTCGGTTGCCATGTTCCTGATTTTTGCCAGGAACATGAGGACTACATCGTGGTTCGGAGTCCCAGACATGTCTACTTTAAGAGACGAGTTGGATATTTGGCCAAGCAATGCAGAGAATTTCAGAATGGGGTTATACATCGTTATATATATATATATATACTGTTAGAATGTAACATTGGTCCCAACATGCATACCATGTCTCACATGTGGCTTACAGGCCTTGAGCCATTGCCCAACAGTGCAAAAGGCAACAGTGCGCACAACTCCGGCATCAACAGTTCATACAACAGTCGACTGCCATTTTACATGGTAGCGGAGCAGTGATCCTGGAAGCATCCAGGTGAGCTCCAACAGGCAGAGGGCTTGATCCCAGAACACTGGGGGACTCTCAACAACAGCTGGAGCAACAAAGGGTAGCGGCCCAACACACCACCACTGCAACGACAAGGAAAGGAAACAAACACAACAACAAAGCGCACAGGAAGAGGGCTTGATCCCAACTACACAGTGTGGGGGACTCTCAACAACAAGGATGGCAACGGCATATGAGATAGGATCGCCAACAGCAGGAGAAGCACAAGCAGAAGCCCTAGCATCAACACACAGGCTGAAGTTGAAACCTCCAACATACGATGGAAACTATGCAACATTTGAGGAATGGAAGTACAAGTTCTCAGCGTACATGGGCCTACAAGACAACATCTTTCCACAACTGCTGTCAAGAGCAGAACGAGCAGCAACAGTGCTCACAGATGCAGAGCTGCTTGGTGCAGCAACAACAATAGAGGAAGGAGAGAAGTGGACACAACTGTGTAACAACCTCAAGTACATCCTCATCAACATCACCAGCGGCCCAGCAGCAACAATATGCAGACAATACCAAGACGCAATGGGCTTGGAAGTCTACAGGCAACTTTGCAACAGGTTTGCAATACCTGTTGGAACAAGAAGCATAGGCTACCTCACAAAACTACTCAAACCCAAGTTCGACACCAACAACTTTGAGGAGTCCTTCTCAACATGGGAATTTGAGCTTGCACGTTACGAGCGTGACAACAATGCACAACTACCAGACCAAGTGAAGATAGCAGTTCTCATGAATGAGACAACAGGACCACTCCAACAACACTTACACCTCAATGCCAGTGCAACACCAACATATGCTGAGGTGAGGACAACAATCATGGAGTACTACAGGACCACCACGGCGTTCTCAAGACTTCAACAACAGTCGTCTTCAGCAGTCAGCAGCAATCTAGGAGGAGGCCCAGCTCCAATGGACATTGGAGCAACATACAAAGGCAAAGGAAAAGGAAAAGGAAAGAACAAAGGAAAAGGATTCAACAAAGGAGGTCACAAAGGAAGAGGATACCAACAAGGAAAGGGCTACGGCGGCTACGGCAGTTATAACAAAGGAAAAGGCAAAGGAAAACAACAGCAATGGTATCAGCCAAAAGGAGTAGAGAAAGGCAACAAAGGAAAGTCGAAAGGAATTCCCAACAAAGGAAAAGGAAAGAATCCAACAGCAATATGCTACAGATGTGGTCAACAGGGCCACTTGGCAAAGGATTGCCGAACAGCGGTGTACAACATGACAGAGACACCGCAGGAACAGAACCAGGATGGAACATCCCAATGGTATGACCCAAACAGTGGGTACGACAACTACTGGTACAGCAACGACCAGTCAGGCAACTACAATATCCAGCCAGTCCAACAACAACAACAACTAGCTTTGCCAGCGCCACAAACCAACACGCAGACACCAACAATACAACTTGTGGGAGCACTGGGCCATCAGGCAGCAAGTGCCCACAATGAAGCAACCACCACAGCTCACGCAGTGCAGCAGCAGAGAGGAGACAACGAGGTGGACATTATGATCGACAGTGGAGCAGCAACACACGTTTGCCCAACATGGTTTGCACCAGACACACCACTGTATCCACTACAACTTGGACAAGGACCTAGGTTGAGGACAGCAACAGATGAGGATATCCCAGTGCATGGCTACAAATGGGTGTACATGCACAACACCAACAAGCAAACAATAGTTGTTCCCTTCTATGTGTGTGATGTGACGCAACCCATCATGTCAGTAACAAGACTGGCAGAACAAGGGTTCAACACACAACTCAACGAAACACCAACAATCACACACACCAAGGGATTCAACTCAGCACTCAAACAACGAGAAGGCCTATACTTCTTGCCAGTTGTGCTGATCACACTTCCAGCCAACTTGAGACTTGAAGTCAGCCAGACAGCAGAAGGAACAACAGCAAAAATAGCACCAGTCACACTGACACCAACAGGCATGGAAATCCTTCGCAACAAGAATGACCTATGGACATTCAACAGCCAAGGTTTCTTGGTAAGAGTCCACAGGACAACACGCAAGGCATTGTTCATGCCAGACAGTAGATGTCCAGTTCCAACAGAAAGGTTGGAGAACTACAGAAGAACAATCATACAAAGACCGAACAACAACACAGAGGTCATCGAAGAAGCATACCAAGACCTCGACAAGAAGCAACAGAAGAGGATCATACAAGGAAACAACGGGACAGGAGAAACATGGTTCAAAGTGAAACATGGAACAGTACTTGCAGGTAACATACCACCACAACCAGCACTTCCACCAGCCAAAGAGCCAGCGACACCATCTCAACAAACCACAGCCGACCAACCACAAGCACCAATGTATCGGCACAACGTGAAGAAGCCTCTCACAGAGGTAAGGCCAACAGACCAAGCAATGACCGCAACGCAGCCATATCAAACAGCAATTCCACATCCAAAGGAAGTCAGTCCAACACAGGACTATTGGATCAAAGAAGGTCCATATTGGAAACGTGTGCATGTCCAACCAAGAAGGGACATGTACATTCCACAACAAGCAGATGATGGACCAGACGTGACAAGACTGACAACATGGAGACAAACAATTGTGAAGCCAACAAGTGGCAACAGAGGATATAGAATAGATGATGACTGGACGACAAAGAGGAGAGCAACACTCGACATAGAGTGGACAGGCTCAACAAATTTTGAAGAAAACGCAGCATACAAAGATGAGTTCATCACAGATGAGCCAGAGGAGCAACAAGAAGCCAAGAGAGCAAAAGGAGTGCCAACACCACAACAACCAACAGAACAAGAAAGAAGAGAACACGAGCTCACACACCTTCCCTACAGAAGCTGGTGTCCAACATGTGTACAAAGCAAAGGAAGACAGGACAACCATCCAAAGCAAACAAGCAAAACACCAGTGATCCAAGTGGATCTGATGTACTACAAAGCATTAGGAGAAAAGCAAACAACATCAGTCCTTACAGCAGTGGACGTTGAAACAGGCATGTGTATGGCAGTCCAACTTGAGGACAAGACGCAGCACGTACAATACCTGTCAGTTTGCCTTCAACAATTCCTGATGGAATGTGGCAGAACACATGCAATTCTCAACAACACCGTTCTTCAATCAGACCAGGAAGACTTTATCATCTCCTTGCTCAAGATGGTGGCAACAGCCATGGGTAGCAACATAGCAGTCAGGCAAGCACCAGCCTACACATCACAAGCACAAGGAAGCGTTGAACGTTTCCACAGAACACTGATTGGCCAAGTTAGAGCCCTCAAACTCCAACTGGAGACCAACTATGGCATCAAGCTCAACAGCAAGCATCCCATCATGCCGTGGCTTGTCAAACACGCAGCATACCTGCTCAACAGGTATTCCATTCACTCAGATGGAAACACAAGCTACTATAGACGATGGGGCAAAGAACACAAAACACCAATATGTGAATTTGGTGAAACAGTTCTCTACATGCTACCAACAGCAAAGCAGATGCCAAAGATGGAAGCAAGGTTCTACCCAGCCATCTGGCTAGGTAAGGACAACTCAACAAACGAGAACATACTTGGCATCAGCAACAAAGTGGTCAAAGCAAGGACCATTCGAAGACAAATCAAGCCAGACAAGTACAACAAGCAGTTGATGGACATCATCAACTCTTCGCCAGCCATGATACCACCAACAACACCAAGCATTGTGGTACTACCACAACCTGCTGCAGCAAAGCAGCAGACAACAACAAGCACACAGACTCAGCAGAGTCCACAACCAAAAGCCATGGTACAACCACACGCTACACCACCACCAGCACTTACGGACCTTCCAATGGCAACAGCGCCAGCAACACAGCAAGCAAAGCAAGCACTTCCAATGCCAACACAAAGCAAAAGAGAAGTAACAGATGAGATTACACAAGGCAGCTCACCAAAGCAAGCAAGGACAACAGAAAGAGCCACAGCAGCCAGCCGACCTGACACAGCTCAGGAGCCACCAACAACAAGGATGAGGATATCACAAGTCACAGTCACAACGAAGAAAGGACAGAAGATAGAAGCAACCTCCAACGAAGATGAACAGGAGATACAAGCTGAAAAGATTCTCCTGGAACCTTGGGTGAGCAACACCGAAGGTTTAGAAAAAGAACAAGCAACGGAAGGAATGAAGCAAGAAATCAAGTCAATGAAGGAACAAGGAGTGTACACAGAGGTACACATAAGCCAACTTACACCAGAACAACGCAAGAAGATCATCAAATCAAGATGGGTTCTTCGACAGAAAGGCAACACAGTTCGAGCACGAATTATAGCAAAGGGCTACACTGAGGAGATCAACGACAACGACGACATCTTTGCATCAACACCAATCTTCTGCGTGCTAAGGATGCTACTTGTCTTAGCACTTTGCAACAACTGGATTTGTCTCACAGGAGACATCTCAACAGCCTTTCTACATGCCGCAGCAGCAACAGCAGATCTTTTCATGTATCCACCAGCAGAATTCTACAACGCCTTCGACCAGATCGTTTGGAGACTCAACAAAGCCATCTATGGCTTACGCAGCAGCCCAAAAGCATGGCAAAATCACCTAGCAGAGGTGATGCAACAACTTGGACTACGACGACTTGTCAGCGAGCCCAACGTTTACGCAACACCTGGAGGAGATGCATACATACTATGCTACGTCGACGACCTGCTCTTCATTGGACAACAGGAGACGGTTCACAAGCTGTTCAAAAGCATTCAGCAACACCTTCTACTCCGTCCAACAGGAGAACTCACAGTCGGCAACACCATCAGCTTTCTGGGTAGAAACATCTGCAACAAAGGTGACTACTACGAGATCAGCTTAGCAGACAGCTACACAACACAGCTGCTGGAAGAAGCCAGCATGCTCAACTGCAACTCAGCACCAGCACCAGGCAACAATACTCTGAAAGCAACATCAGAGATGGAACAAGAACTCAACAAAGAAGAACATGCAGCCTACCGAAGAATGGTTGGCAAGCTACAATGGATGACCTACACAAGGCCAGACATTGGCTTTGCAACAAAGGAGCTTGCAAGAGCTCTGACACAACCAACAACAGCAGACCAGCAGAAACTGAAACACTTGCTCAGGTACATCAAGGGAACACAACACTACAAACAATACATAAGACCAACAACCAAGACACCAACAGCTGAAGCAGTACCAGACATCCAAGTCTTTGTCGACAGCGACTGGGCAGGATGTGCAACAACGAGGAAGTCAACAACAGGATTTCTGATCAAAGTCTTTGGAGCAACAATCCACTACGGAAGCAGAACACAGGCAACAATAGCGCTGAGCAGCGCGGAAGCAGAACTCTATGCAATCAACACAGGAGCAACAGAAGCACTCCACATCAGCAATTTCCTGAAGGAAGCTCTCAACATGAAGAAGATCAACATCTGCATACACACCGACTCATCAAGCGGAAAGAGCATGGCAACCAGGATTGGAGCATCAAAGAAAGCCAAACATATCGAGCTCAAGCACCTTTTCATACAACAACTGGTCGCACACGATCTTGTGAGGATTGTCAAGATCAACACGACCAATAACCCGGCCGACATTTTCACCAAGTACGTCGCGACAGAGACGCTTTTGCGTCACATCAGTGATGTTGGCATCAGCACCCAGCGTCACTGAGCAAACAACAACAAGCAACAACAACAGTTTCACTGCAGCATGCGTGTTCATGTGTGAGCGCGTGCACAACGTGCGAACATCGTGCGTGGCATGCACACACAAACATACAGATCCAGAGAGCCATGGTGCTGACAAAGGTCAGCAACATCCTCTATTTCACCTACATCCTCGTAACATGAAGTATCACTACATGATCAACTATGTCATATACTTCTTCAACATGATGTGTACTACATGATTGTGGACGTATTTGGCAACATGATCACGTTTGACAACATGTCGACTTTCGAGTACAGTGTTTCAACAGTTTTCTTGAATTCAACATGTTTTGCATCTGATGTTTGAATGTCAACATTTCGTTGACAACAAGTTTACTGATCAAAGCCGTTTGGTTCAACAAGACCTCGAGCTTCAACATCGTTGAAACCTACGGCAACAATGTCCCTGGTCAACAATGCGTTGGCAACTTCACCTGTGAACAGGTCCCCACACAAGGTGACCTTGGGCAGCATTGGCCTGACAACAAGGGCCATTCAGATGAGCGCGACCAACAACCCTGAAGGCCTCAACCCGGATGCCTTCAACATGATGATGGAGAATAACAGTTTGGAAGCATGGTGGATCTGCCTTCCAACAGAGATCCATCAGTCAGCGCTGTGCCCAACAACGAACCGACTCTTGGGGATTAGTGGCAACATCCTCATGCCAGAGTTTGACAAAGCCATCTGGTCAACAGACCCAGGTGCCGCGGTCACAACATGTGCCTATCATGCAACAGAGTTGCATTTGGAGTCAGCAAATCACCACACGTGGATGTTGACATGTGTGGTTGTCAACAAGCTGAAACAACTCCAACGCCTGGGCAACAATACGGTCAACATCTTTAACCGTGGCTACGTTCGACCTCAATTACAGATCCAGGCAGGCAACGTCATGCGGTTCACAGTTGATGAACAGGTATCAACACAGATCTGGGAAGTCACCTCGTCAAGGGACAACACTGTCCTTCATCAGGTGACAACAGAGCTGTCTTGGTCCAACAACTACATGTGGACCTACAACTACGTGTTTCCAACATCGTTGATCTCTGCTGAGAACAACGATCATTTCATCTGTTTTCTCCAATCTTTGGAATACTCTGGGGCAACAGTGCTCCAACAACTGTCCACTGATGAGACAGTTCGCCTATGGGGATTGCTGTCAACACCTCAGAATTGGCGTCATCTCCAACAAATCTCCATGGGAGGCAAGACTATGGAGAGATTGAGGGGCAACGCCAGAGTGATCGAATGGATCACAGCCAACACCAACATGGAACAGTTCGTTGCGAAGTACAACCAGTATCGCAACAGTTCCAACCCAGAGAACAGAGAAGATGATGAGGACATGCCTCACAACATCGAGGACAGCGTGGAGGCACGGGATGGCTGAACAATTCAGCAACAAAGGGTGAAACTGCAACATCCTGGAGTCAACACTCCAAACCAACAGAGATGATGGCGACGTCAACATGGAGTGCAGCTGACAACATTAGTTTCCGATGAATAGATGTACACTATCTCAATAGACAACATCTTTCTTCAACAACTGATGAATGTAAAGTGTACAGTGTCAACATTCTTAGATTCGCCATGCAGGCAACAATAGCCAACATGTCGAGGGGGCGTGTTAGAATGTAACATTGGTCCCAACATGCATACCATGTCTCACATGTGGCTTACAGGCCTTGAGCCATTGCCCAACAGTGCAAAAGGCAACAGTGCGCACAGCTCCGGCATCAACAGTTCATACAACAGTCGACTGCCATTTTACATATACATACATTATACATATATATATGTATATATATATGTATATACATATATATATACATTACATATATGTATATACATATATATATACATATATGTGTATATATATATATATGTGATATTTTTTATATCCAAGTGGCATTGCGATCTTTAAGGCGTATTGCAATCGGAGCATTTTTGTCATGTTGCCAGGACTCATGCTGCAGGTGTCAAACACTTGGGAAGGGGAGGGGCCACCCCTGTTCGGGCCTATTCCGGTCAGCTGACGGTTTGTGAGGCGCATCCCAAGACAAAGTCCCTAGTCTTTGTTCGCTTCGTTCATGGTCGGGTTTAATAGGATAAACCAGGTCTAAGCATATACTACGTAAACTTCACACAATGAACAATGAACATACTTAACTGAATTGAACATTGAACATACTTAACTGAATTGAATGAACATACTTATTCAGGTTGAACAATGAACATTGAATGATATTGAAGGCAAGGTGGGAAATGCATTCCGCAAATAGATTCTCGATGGGATATGACCTTCTTGCCAGTTTATCTCACAAAATTTCGAGTGTTTCTGTGATGACCGAGGTGTTACAGCCATAGCCCGAGGTTTTTCATGGGAAATCCCCACAATGTGGGGTTTTTCGAGTTATGTTTGTTGGTTTATAAACCCCATGAATATAGTTATAAGTTTTATTTGCGTATCAGAAACCATAGTGACATTGGAGTTTTTTGTACGCACCAACTGAGCTATCGAAAACCATTCCCTGGCAGCGCGGTTCAGCTGCGCTGTTCAGCTGTTCTGTTCAGGTCGGTGACCGAAGAATCAACAAACCTTTCGTCGAAAAACCCGTGGACCGAAGAGATCGCGACATCTACGCCCCTCGGTCGCAGCACTCGCAGCACAGTTGGAATTTTTGCAAAGGGGTGATGATGATTTTTTTCGGCTGGAACCTCTGGTGTAGTCACTGAGTTAATTTCCATGCTGGTCATTTCGGCAGTTTTTTAGATTGACCTGTTAAAGCGAAACTCTTTTAAAAACCCAACTGAGTGGCGAATGATGTCTACCAGAGTCTACCAGCTGCCCAGTTGTGCCAGTTGACCACTTCCGGGACGAGCCATCCAAAGTTACCAACATCATCGAAGCATGATGTTTATATTGATATTAATTAATGGGTTTGTAAGCATTAAATTTTGGGATCTTGATGAGGTATGAAGACACATGAAGACCATTGGAAACGCGATTTAAGCTGCAAATGCTCATCGGTTGATGGTTGGTTGGTGGATAATTGATGTTCAGAGTTCTGCATGCCAGAGACTGCAGGTGGGATAGCATTTGGGGATGGTTTATAGTTTATACTATAGATCTATAGCATCCATAAAGATGGTGATGACTTGGGGATGGTTTAGAAAGTAGGGTTTACAACATGATAGCCACATAATAATCCACCGATAGGGATTTATATACCCATAATATCCCGTCACAATATTGATAATTATATAATCATTATATCCACATCATACCCATGAACATCAAAATAATATATATATATATAAGTAATAATAATAATAATCATCATCATCATCAGGATTCCCATAGCCCATTCATTCCGTATGAGCTATTAGACATATCTTTGTGGATAGATTATGAAACCGGGAATTATACCATGGTAAATTAACGGTTTGACCCTGAAAATGACCAATTTATAGTGGAAACTCACTAGTCTTCCAACCCCTACAGTATCTGGCAGGGTCGAACTGTTAATTTACTGGAGGGTATACCATGGATTATAACGGGGATTATGAACTAACATCGACCATCCCAGAAAAAAGCCCAGCCGCCTTCGCCGCTTCGCCCAGGTCTATTACCCCAGATCCTCGGGAGGAGGAAGAGCTCTTCTCTCAACGAGGTGAGGCCCAGAAAATTCACCAAATGGTGGGAAACCATGAACGACTTCCATAGGCTTGTGTTATAAATAGGTTTCCTAAAATGTTGGTAAAATGATGATAGAAATAGAAATGATAGGTGAATGATGATGTATCTTGGTGAAAACACAAATCATGGCCAAATCAGCCTTGATACACCCCTTAAGAAGCTGCCTTTGTGTGTGTGTGTATCATTGCGGACAATATCCGGGGTACTATTACAGCAGCAATGACCACCACTGCTGGAGGATGACAAAACTAATTGATCGAAACCAGGGTTTTAATAACTCTAAATCCTTTCCCATCTTTACTCCCCCAAAATGAGCTGGTGTTGACTTTGTTGACTTTGGCCAAGAACAGATGGCCTTCTTCGGAGCGGAGAATTCGAGAATTCCGGATTGGCTCCTTACAACATGATTCTAGGATGCCATCCCTTGCGATGGACTGTTCAGCTGGTTTTCGTGGGGGAAATGGAACAAAATCATGGGTGTAAATCCAACTATTCGATGGGGATATACTCTAGTGGGATAGAACAGGATCTACCCTCTGGTGAACTAACATAGCAATGGAAAATCACCATTCTTAATGGGAAAATCCACTATAAATAGCCATTTTCCATTGCTATGTTAGTTCACCAGAGGGTATCCTTAAATGTTATTTCCTTTTTACATGACCTTGAGATGATCTCGGAACACATACTCATTTATGCACATGTACATGTTCATTTACATGTGTACAAAATATACATCATATAGTCTAGTTACACATATAATTATATATACATACATAATGTATGTATAAATATAGTTATATATATATACTGTATATAATATGTGTATATATATATATATCCTCGGGTAATCACACATGGCTTGCTGGACAATTCCCGCCTTACTCCAGGGAGTCGGGCGACGTGGAGTACGTCTGCAGATTCGATCCCAGTGGACGCGTGAGACGGGAGGGTTCCTTCATCTACCAGGCGGGGTGGGGATCAACGAGAATCTGCTGGGTCAATGGAGGAATAAGGGTTCATAATCTGCTGGGTTAACAATGGTTCATAGTGGTCAATAACTATAGTCATAATGGTTAATAATGGTTAATAGTGGTTCATGCATAAATAGTATTAATAATGGTTAATAATGAATAATCATGGTTAATAACAATAATACTGGTTAACAATAGTACTGGTTAATAATCTTAGTAACGACAATCAACGATAATACTGGTTAAGGTTAACAATAATGTTATTAAGGGCTATTCGATCATGTGGCTTTTATCATGGAAAATCACTATTTTGATAGCTAAATCATCTAATGTTATTAAGGGCTATAACAGTAATGAAACCCCAAAAGTTGGGATATATTTCCTATAGTTTTAGTTCTTTTTTTTCCTTACCACTGCATGTAGAACTGCACGTAGAACTGCACCCCCCCCTTTGGGGGGTGATTCTCATGGGCTCCGCCAATGATGGATGATTTGACTGGGTGTGAATATTAAGCAAGTATTTATTTCAAGAGGTGTTGTTGGCCCAAAATAAGAGGCAATCGTTTTGGTGTCTTATGAAATTGATTGCTCCAACTTAAAGACTTATTGCCATTTTACACGGGAAACTCATGATGAATCGCCAGACATTCTGGGGTATCCAATTTTCAGACAGGTCCAAATGCATGATTTCGCACTGAATGCATGATAGATTTACGAGGTACGAAATATGAAGCCTGGATGAGCATGGTGGCTTGGGTGTCAACTCTCCTGGACATGGAGAGTATTTCGGTTGATTTTTTGAGGTGCAGTATGTTTTTTTTTCAAATGCCTGACCATTTGGATAATTTATCCTGCCAATGGACAACTTTATAGATGATTGTCTCACATTTTCTGATTGTCTCTGGATTTTTCAGCTGGCCATGTAGAATTTCTGATTGCGGTACTTCCAATGGTCATCCTCCCACTTAAGTTCTTAGGATCATCCTTGGTGGTAGCTCTCCATGACTGATCGTGGCTATCACCGCTTCGTGTACTTAGTTTGTTCAATTGTATTCAAACACCTGTTTTGTGTTGAACTAAATTCAACTATACTTTGTATTTTGGTTTATTCAAGCACCTTCTAGTTTATTCAACTATACTTTGTATTCAAGCACCTTTTTGATGTTCGTGTCGCGGAGATTTGAAAATGTTCAAGCCCCGATGATTCATGTTCCCCTTTTCGACTCTGTGAACCTAGCATAAAGGGTCTAGTTCCATAAAGGGGCGAATCTGGAAAATGATGATAAACCATGGGAATAGTGGATTTAAATTGATTTTTTTTTGGTGTAATTACATGTAATATAATCAGCCCATTCTGGACTCTGGCCATTTGTAGTTTCTTGCGATGTTCACGTCAAGCTTGCAGGAATACCTTCAGAGTGAGGGCTTTGTCATCCAGGTGGTCTGCGTTGGAGGTGCCGAAAAAGACTGGGGGTCTCTTCAGCAAGGGAAGCGAAAAACTGGTGACAAGCCCAAAACCTCGGTTGTCTGAAAAATGGCTATGGATCAATACCTATAGATACCATTTTTAGTGGGATGAACATCCATTTACCAGCTATTTTGATGTTCACCAGGGGTACAAGGTTTTGACACACTACCAAATGATGGTATCCCCAAATCCATTGATTCCTCATCATCTTACCATCTGGTTATTTAACAGTTCGCCATGGAAAATCACCATTTTTATATAATAATAGGTAAACCATCTATTTTCCATGGCTATGTAACAAATAACCAGATGGTATATGCTCATCTATCATATATTCCCATATTTTCCCATGCATATGGCCATTTTGGGGGGTTAGCATGGGGATTTTCCACATGCTATCAGACACCGCATGACGTACCTCTCCAGTGACACCGCTTTTCGGCAATTTGTTTTTCGTCCAGGCTAAACAGTGGTTGTGCGTTGCCTGAATCGCATTTGGCAATTGGATAAGTGGTTTGTTGGTGAAGGTTTTGGCACTTTGAATCCCCATTCCGACTGTCGGGTTGCTAGCTTCAATCCTGATAATCCTATAGTTTATGTTTAATCTATGTCCATATTCATGTTTTTGTATTATTATGTTTGAAATATCCATAAATAATATAATTCATAATCCTTGTATTTATGGTTTTGTTCAATCAAATCCATATTCATCAATGACCGTTCATGCAATACAAAGGAAATCATCTCCATGGCTGCTTCATTTTTTGTTCAAGGAACTTGTCCAGATAGCTCAAATCTCAAATGATACTACCTTTTTCCAAAATCATTTTCAATGGATTGGTTTGAGGGAAAATTTGCATGAAAACCCCCATATTTAGTGGGAACAACATCTATGGTTTCCGGTTAAGATTTTCCTTTAAACCAATCCTTTGACATTTGCTTGTGACTAAGATTGGATGAAATTGCTACCATTGTTGCGACAAATTTCCAATATTTTGGGGGTATATCTCCTTACATAGGCCTTACATAGGCCTTATATATGGTAGGTACCTCCAATTTAGGATCCTGAAATTCCCATTACTATTTTGTAACTTGCATCCTGTACTGTTCCTTGGTTCCGAGATGATTTCAACAAGACTTTGGAGCGTACGCGGAGTCCTTTCGACCCCGCAAATGAAAGGAATCTCTTCATGAGCCCGCTACAACTGCCACGGGGTATGCTCTAAGGGTTGTTGGGTAGAGCCCCAGAAAAAGACTTCGGTACTTGTACATCATTTTTCTATCCGTTGGGATCTATGATAAATGGCTTAGTCTGAAAATGTGGTACCCTAATACCCTAACAAGAATGAATTGCAAAAAATAATGGTTTTTCTATGTTTTTCTGGCAAATTTCTGGTAATTATGCAATTTTTCAGACACACCTAGATCTATTAGATCTGATCTTGGGTCGAATCGCTCATTTCTCGCTTGAAAAAGTTCCGAAACAGGCAACTCCTATGGCAATGCCGTCCTCTCTGGCGTGGTATCAAGGCGCGTGTGGTGAAAAAGCTGGGATAACTCCTTCAAGTGAGTTATCCCATTTATAAATGGGTGGTGGTTTCAAACATGTTTTATTTTCCATGATATTGGTTAATCATAAATATATGATTAATATATGAAATACATGGTTAATATATGGAATTTTATGACTTTCCATAATATATGGGAATGTCATTTTATCCCAACTGACTTTCACTCCATCATTTTTCAGAGGAGTAGGGCTCAACCACCAACCAGAATAGCTAATTAACCATCATTAACCATCATCATAACCATTAATATTAACCATTATTAACAGTATATTACCAACCAATGGTAGGGCTCAACCACCAACCAGTAAATGGGTGGTTCACTAACCCCATGTGCTCAGAAATTCGGTGGGCGATCCCCGACTGGGAAAATCCCGGAAGACTTGGCTCGCTCGACGGATTTTTTTCGACGGATGGCTGGTTTTCATAGCAAGTTGACATACCCATAGGATCCTGCTGGTGCTGGTATATATGCTAACATTGATTGGGTTTTTTTGTTGATGGGATCCATGGAGCACCATATTTTTGGCAGCACCGTGAATGGATCCGTCATGGGATATGGTTTTCGACCCAGGATTTGTAGATTTCGATCATCCTTAGAATGCCACGTAGCTGTCGACTACGGCCCGCTGTATCCGGAACAAAAAAATCATGCGTTCGCACGATGTATTTATACAACGATTTTCAGAAGTCTCACTCTCTGGCGTGTACTTCTTGGATTATATAAATATGAATGATTTCATGTGTACCAAGTGCCAAAATAGCCAAGATGGTAGGCACCGTGGACCCGCGATGCAAGGTGCGGAAATGAGGCAGTGTCACAGCAAGTGAGGAATGGAGGCCCGTTGGTCGCTGTGGCGCATCGTTTCATCATCAGATTCCCTCATTGCAATGGCCTCTATGATGAATAATTTGTCTTAGTAGTGGTGTTGAAGAACAACATCATCATCATCATCATCGTCATCATCATCATCATCATCATCACCATCATCACCATCATCACCATCATCATCATCATCACTAGTAATAATCATATAGTTAATCATAAATGGTATAAACAAACAATAATAGTCGTCGTCATCATCATCATCATCATCATCATCATCATCACGAATGATGAATGATAGTCATTTGGGAAGTAAGTTGCTGGCCCTATATATATATTATATATATATACATTATATATATATATATGAAGCATGAATTTGGAGTCTATACCTTATATCCCGAACAGAAATGGGAATATACGCCAAGAACTGTGCCGAAACTTGTCGCAATATCGAGAGTGTCGGTCGATCTGGGCACTGTTTGATCAGTGAAATCCAGTCATTCTTGGTTATATATCCCTTCGTTACTGCTGATGATGCTTTTATTGCTCTGTTCCAGAATTCACAATCCCATGAAAATCCCATGAAACCCCAATGAACTCCCATAAAATCCCATGAAATTTCCATGAAAGTCCAATGAAATCCCATAAAATCCCATGAAATTTCCATGAAATGCTATGAAAATGCCATGAAATCCCATGAAATCCCATGAAATCCCATAAAATCCTATAAAAAAACAATGAAATTCCATAAAATCCTATAAAAAGCCCATGAAATCCTATGAAAATCCAGTGAAATCCCATAAAAAATCATATGAAAATCCAATGAAATCCCATGGGATTTCTATGAATCCCAGCCCACAAAATTACTTCCCATGGGTCGAAGGTTCTGAGCCTTGCCCGGTGTGGTTGCGACAAGAAGAGAAGATCATGGCCTCCAAGTTGCAGGTGCGGTTATTTTTGTTGGGACTTCATAGGGATGTAATTGGGAGTTATTAGGATACCCTCTGGTGAACCAGGCATCGGTTTCAAATTTTTCTGGTGGTGAAACCAATGGTGGGGCCACATACCCTCTGGTAAACCAACATAGATATTGAACATGGTGATTTATAGTTGATTTACCAATTAATAATGGTGATTTTCCATAGTTATGTTAGTTTACCAGAGTGTAATTGGGAGTTATTAGGATATATGGAGGTTTCCTAAAATTGGGGTACCCCTAAATCATCCATTTCAAATCATTTTAATTTGATGTTCCATGAAATAAACCATCCATTTTCTGGTACCTCCATTTTAGGAAACCTCCATATGATTGGTATACCCTCCAGCAAACCAACATAGCTATGGAAAATGGATCGTTTATAGATTATTTTAGCTATCAAAATAGTGATGTTCCATAGCAAACGGTGAAGTTGGCAGAGGGTAACTAGCCTCGAGGTGATCATCGGAAATGGGGAATTTCACCAAATTGAGCTATGAAAGTTATACCCAAGGGGTGATTGGGTATGATTTTGTTGGAATTACCCAAGCCAATGGGATAATAGGTACCCAATCACCTGGGTTTTTGGGGATTATTACTAGTTATACCTCTAGACCTGGGTTAGGGATTATGAACTAAACCATTGGGATTGAATTGTGGCTAGTTTTTTTTCCAGGGATTGTCATTGTCCAACTGGGAATTCCGACTAACCAGCAATCATGAAATGACAGTGGGTAAACTGAACACTGCCTCGATTAAAAAGGCCATTAAAACAGTGGAATGGTGACCAATCAGAAGATGTGGAATGGTCCCAAGCTATACATATATCCATATGTTTGCTGATTAACTCTAGGTTTTGCCGCTTTTGCGGATGAAGACCTTTTTTTGCCGTTTCAATGAACAATTGAGGAACATTATTTTGACTGACTCCACCTCCTGGCCATGGCTAAGCCATGTCCCATTTCGAAGTTGATGGTCGTGACCAATCCAGGACGGGGCCAATCTCATCTCATCATTTGAGCCGTGTTCAAAACCCCCAACTCGTTGATGATTCTAGGGTGGGTTAATCACAATTCATAGGAGGGTTTATGGTAATATACCCTCTGGTAATTTAACATAGCTATTGAACATGGACCATTGATAGTTGATTTACCTATTAAAGATGATGATTTTCCATATCTATGTTAGTTTACCAGTGGGTAACTGATAAGTGATGGTTGGTTGATGATTATAGGCTATATTATTCAACCCCTATTTCATTATTTCGGGATGATCATGATGATCATTAGCCATTAACTTAACTGGAAATCCCATTCTTAATCAACCATATCAACCATTGTAATGGAATGACACGCCTGTTGGCCTAGCCACAGGCAACCTCCCAAAACTCAACATTTCAGGTTGGTGAACTACAGTCATTCAGAACTTTGGGGATGATTTTTCAACTGCCAGCTGGTACTTGGCAAAAAAAACCGGATTTCATGGCTCAATCTTCAGAATTTATCACATGATGGTGAATCCCATATCTCGTTGGTGGTTTGGAACATGTGTTTTTTTTTATGACTTTCGATTCAGTTGGGAAATTGTCAGTTTTCCCAACTGACGAACTCACTCATATTTTTCAGAGGGGTATACTGAACCACCAGAGATGTTCAACATCTTGGATGGATCCTCTTAACAGTTTAACAGGGAGATTTCTTTTTATCTCCCAGCTTGGTGAAATCCTCACTTTTTGGTTAAATCATTATATAATGTTATATATATATACATATACACATATATATATACATACATATGTATATATACATATATATATATTTATATATTTATACAGTTAAAGAAACCGTATCATATTGGGTTGTTTGAAACACTGGCCGTATCTTTTTGTCAGGTCATTTTGTCACAGACACTCTTCGGCCTCACCCTACTCCGGTCGCAGACTGCCTCTGGGTCGGGCGTCCAGTCTAACTGGAGACCTGGAGATTCACCATGTGGAACGTTCAGAATGGTACCCTCTGGTAATTTAATGGAATTCAATGGTGATTCAATGGTGATTTAATGGGATTTCATGGGATTTAATGGGATTCAATGGGATTTAATGGGATTCAATGGGATTTAATGGGATTTAATGGGATTTAATGGGATTAATGATGGTATAGCCTCTGGTAAACTAACAGTTTGCTATTGAAAATGACCATTTATAGTGAGTTTTCCCATTAAAAATTGTGATTTTCCATAGCAAAATGGTAGTTTACCAGAGGGTATGTGAAATCCCCAAATGTGGAAAATCCCCAATTTAATATGGTATGTCAAATGTCCGTTTTTACATCCAGATGGTATGTCCGTTCGGAACATTTAGGTCGATTCGTAATGACATGAGAAACAAAAAAACACATATATATATACACATATGTACAGGATGGATTTGACTGGTTCTTTGGCTTTGTCTCAAAATGGTGGACATGCTCAGCAAGTTTAAGGATGGGAAACAAGATGATCAACGGCTAGAATCTGTGGCCTCGAAAGGAGACGGTGTACCCTCTGGCAAACTAACATAGCTATTGAAAATGGCCATTTATAGTGGATTTTCCCATTAAAAATTGTGATTTTCCATAGTTATGTTAGTTTACCGGAGGGTAGTACTCCAAATAACTTTTAATAAGCACATCCACAGTCGTCCGCGCATGAAAACAAGTTGACCCATGCCCCACCTGTCCCATGGAAGGTAGGGAGATAGGAATACAATGAAATGGACGGAAAAGAGGAAATACCCTCTGGTAATTTAACATAGCTATGGAAAATCATCATCTTTAATAGGTAAATCAACTATCAATGGTCCATGTTCAATAGCTATGTTAGTTTACCAGAGGGTACTGAATGTGAATGTATCAGAGTCAATGACTATACTATGCGATTTGTTGTTCCGAATGACCCTCAGATGAGCAACTTACTGAGATCTCGTCCATTTGGGGTATTCCAAAGGTTTTCACAGCCACGAATCTTAGTTCATGGAATCAGAAGATTGATGAAAGCACATAGATTTCAGACTTTATTGGATAAGACTAGCCCCAATTGCATGGGACAAATAACGGTATGATCAAATTTTATTGGAATCCAAAGAGAATCTCCAGATTTTCTCACACCTGCTTCAGCCTGTTTTTTTCATCTCGGCACAGGAATGCAATATCTTACATCATCGACGTGTGGCCCGGTATTCCTCGAGCGGGATTGGGGGTGCGCCGCAAATCATCTCGCGGGGGTTTTCACGGAAATCGTGGCACATCTTCGGCCCGTCTTCCATGATGTGATGAAGGTTGGGGACCCAACAAGAATATGATGAACCTCCAATTTTGAGGTTTGTCTATACCAATTTGTGGTTAAAAAAAAAGGCAATGGTTTGAAGCATTGGGTTTACCACATGAATCATTAACATAGTTTTGCTGGGAACTGTTCTGTGTGTTCTGGCATTATTTGACTTGGGTGATGGCTTATGTGAGCACATATGCCATGCTCGTTGGAAAAAACCTGTGTTGTGGATGCTTTAATCCATTACTGTACAATATCAGTGCTAAAAGAGAACTGGCAAAGATTGGCTTGCAGCAGATCACATGAGTAGCCGACAAAATTATAGTTATAGTGGTTATAGTATAGTAATACTCATTAGCTCAAAATTATAGTAATACTAATTTAGTCTTGCTGCGCCTGGCCTTGAGGTTGCACAAGACCTTCATAACCGATAGGGGACGACCCTAAGTTGTCCATGGCATTAAATTTAACATATAATTTTGTCCGCTACTCACATAACAGAATTGACAGTCTCACTGCATGTTGACTGAAAAAATCGGAATTCGAGGGACCCTGGACTGGGAAATTTCGGATTCTTATCCAACTCTCGGTCAGTTTCCCTCGCTGATAATGCAGTTCAAACTGACTGATCGCATGTCACTGGCATGTCTGACATTCAGAGATGCGGTAAGGAACACTCCGGTGCTGAATCCCTGGGCCGTTGATAATATCAGAAAAAGTGGTTCAAACACAGACACGCGTAACATGTATAGTAATTAATGTATTCATACAATACATTGCATTATATTGATACACACTATGTAATTGCGAAGTGGCTTCATATATATATATATATATTTCTATGTTCAATCCTATCTAGGATGGCAATCCACATCGAATGTATTCGAATGGCATTTTTGTGGTGGCTCAACACCAGCGAGTGTCCAACTAGTAACCCCCTTTTTTTTCGAACAAACCCCTACCAAAAATAACCGGGTAAAAACCAATTGCCCACAATATATTACATATGTATAATATGTATTTATGAACATAAAATATATACATATTATGGATGTATCCTGTTGTCCACTCTAAACGGTCAAAGACACACACAATTTGCCATTTCTGGCTGGTGGTTTCCCATGAATTCCCATGCGCCAGGCGCATAAGGACGATGTGGTGCGAGCGCTGCGGGGGTTCTTAGAAACCAAGCATCATATCGTTTGTTTTTGATGTATGCACTGGCTTTCCAAACTTAAAAGTGGTATTATATATATATATCATTATATATCATTATATATGTTTATATATGGCTATATATATCATTGTATATGATTATATGATTATATATATCATTGTATATGATTATATATGATTATATGATTATGTGACTTTTCCAAAGCACACATGGGTGCATACAGCTTTAAGCATAAAGCTTTGTTGACCATCAACAATGATGATTTCACCCGCATGATGGCGAACCAAGGATGGTTAGAACATGTGAATCGTCTCCTTGAAACATAGTTATATTGAATGGAATAATAATGGAATATGAATTAAATCTAGGTAAATTATAACGACCTCACTGTTCTCCCTCACTGGAAATCATAGTTAGTAAGGGAAATCATCCCCAAATGGCCTTAATTCAGGTTAGTGAACTATTATAATTTACCCAGATTAAATGGGACATCAAACATATTGGGGAGATATGAATAATAATGATTCAATTGATATTGAATGGAATATGAGTTCAACATATTGGGGATATATTAAAATATATTAAATGGGACAAGTAGATGAATTTCATCATGACATATCATCAATGGCCATTTCAGGATCCGATTGATTGGAGGTACCTACCATATATAAGGCCTATTTTTCAGGCCTAGATTTCAGGGAATATCCCCACAATTCATATGGCCAAACATATGGTACGTTTACGTACCTCCATCTGTTGGATCCTGAAGATCTCCCATTGATCAATAACTATTTTTAAGTATATACATTTAAGTACTCATAATCCATATTAACCATGATTTTCCCAGCCCTTTCCTGCACCCCAAGCAGTGACCAATGACCTTCTTTTCCGTTGGCATGATCGGTCTTTTCCGTGTTGATCTGGGGGGAATCATCGCCGGCTGCAAGTTTCATCGATTTTCAGGTGAAAAATGTGTTCAAAACCCCGACGTTGGTTGATGATTAGTTCGGGGATTATACTACCTTATATACTGGGGATCATGATAATACAATAGGGGAATCCCTATAAACCAACCAGTATACCCTCTGGTAAACTAACGTTTTGCTATGGAAAATCACTATCTTTAATGGGTAAATCCACTATAAATGTGGTATTTTCAATAGCAAACTGTGAATGTTTACCAGATGGTAAACCATCATTAATCCCATTAAATTCCATTAAATCCCATTGAATCAATAGCTAAGTTAGTTTACCAGAGGGTAGATCATGATAATCCAATAGGGGAATCCCTATAAACCAAGCAGTATAATAGGTTTGGTTCATGGTGAATCGCTGAGGCAACAATCCATGAAGATGAGGCTCAATTCCTTGGGCTTTACGCGCGCAAGGCAGCAGACGAGACGGAGAATGGGGCAGAATTCTTCCTGAATTAGGGCAACGGGGAGAAAATCATGATGAATGGGATTTAATGGGATTCAATGGGATTAATGATGGTATAGCTGCTGGTAAACTAACAGTTTGCTATTGAAAATGGTGATTTATAGTTGATTTACCCATTAATTAATATCATTGTGATTTTCCATAGTTATGTTAGTATACCAGAGGATGGCCTTGATTTTCCTTGTTTGATCGTTTTCCTTATTTGATCGTAGACTTGATCTTCCATCACATCTAGGATTTCTAAGGGTTACAGTAACCCAAATTTACAGGTTGCAGGTTTTTTGAGATCTCATTTGTTGGCTGATTTTTTGTTTGGATGACCGTGCAAACGTTTGTTTGGTGCTTGTCGCAACTTTGCATCGTTTCAAATGTGCAGGTTTGTATGCAAGTGAATATGGGGTGGGAAATATGTGCATGTTTTTCCTAGATGAATGGAGATATGAATATCAATAACTACTAACGGTTACAAACTACCAGCTATTTTGTTGCTCAGGCTTCCTTGGCACCATATACAAATACCATCAAGTACCAGCAAACTAGGTTACGCCGTGACAGGTGGCCTGTGGGCGGCGGCGGCACTTTTATCCTTCATGGTCGCCATTTGCAAATCTTTGCCATTTCTTTACACATCTGTGCAGGTGGGAATTTGTCATTCACATTCTTGTTGCGTCACCACACCCCACCCCACCCCACCCCTGTATATATATATATATACGCAAGTTACTTGAACATGTTATCAACGTAGCATCAAGAGCATCTTCCGAATGACTTCAACATGTTATCAACGTAGCATCAAAAGCGTCTTCCAAGGTACTTCCACATGTTACCAACGTAGCATCAAGAGCGTCTGTCCAAGTACTGCAACATGTTATCAACGTAGCATCAAGAGCGTCTTCCGAGTGACTTCAACATGTTATCAATCTAGCATCAAGAGCGTCTTCCAAGGTACTTCCACATGTTAACAACGTAGCAACAAGAGCGTCTTCCAAGGTATTTCAACATGTTATCAACGTAGCATAAAGGAGCTGGTCCTAAGAACATTAACATCTCCTCCCACCCCACCCCACCCCATATTTATGTATATATATATATACACAAGTTACTTCAACATGCTATCAACGTTGCATCAAGAGCGTCTTCCAAGGTATTTCAACATGTTATCAATGTAGCATAAAGGACGTGGTCCTAAGAACGTTAAGATCCCCCCCACCCCACCCCACCCCACCCCATATATATATATATGTATAGACATCACGAAAATCACACAAAAGGCACAGGCCACCGGCCACGGCCTTAGCAACGACTGATTAGGTAGCTTCACCCAAACCAAGATGGTACCAACAAAACAATTGAGCCATTGGAAATAGCATTCCTGGTCATTGGAGAGGGTTCTGAACCTACGCTTTAACAATAAACAATATTGGGGATTGTGGGAAACCATAATTAGCAGGCTACATATGAACCAACCAGTATGATGGGATGGGAATAGCACGGTACTTTCATGGCTCCATTTTGCTGGATGGCTAGTAAATATTACTACTATGGATCTTACTAATCCCGAATAAGCCAGTTAGATCCAGTCAGTATCATAATAGATGTCCTTTTCCCATTGATTGGTTGATTAATAAAGGGGTTTGAAACTACCCCTTTAACAACAGGTTTCTTTGATGATAGATGGTATACCATACCAGCTCCCGGCCCCTCTATTTTTACCAAAAGGACATTATTGGTCAGTAGAACTTTTGATCTTCACCCATCAACTCAGGTACCCTCTGGTTATGGTTTAAGGGTTTGCTCTTGAAAATGGCTCATTGAATCCCACTTACCTATTAAAGATTTGGTGATTTTTTATAGCTGAAATGATCAAAGGGTAGAATGATGTGCGCAGAACCCTGGAAGATCACCATGTTCATAGCTCAGTTGTTCATAAACATAGCTATAGAAGCATGATTTCACAATGCTATAGATCTTACAGATCTTACCCTCTAAATTATAGCATTATTTACCGGATAAACTTTATAAATCATCAATTTTACCGGGTCTTTTTCATGGCAAAAAGTTGTTGCTCTAATTGATTTCACCGTGCCGTGAGGTCCTTGCCAAAGTACTCGGCTGAAGAGGTGCGCGTTTTTTCGCAACAGCGATCAACGTGGGCACAACGTGGGATCTGGATCTTTAGATCTTTTTTGGAACTGGGATCTGAAAAATCTGGGAAAATCTGAAAATTGATGTTTTTTTCTGAAAGATCTGAAACTAGTTCAGGAATACTGGAAATAAACTGTTCAGTAAACATCAATAAATCAAGATTTGAGCTTCAATCATCAGGAACCACCCTATGATCTGGCCAAAAGGGTAAATTTTAACAGGGACTGGCTTGGGTACTTCAATTTTTTTTTGATATCCTTGGGTTCATCTTTGGAGATAAACCTCAGGGCCTATAGGGGTTATTTGTAGCCATAAGATGCCATGCTGACGGGTGATACCACCTGCTTAAAGTTGGGACTTGTGACGGGTGAAACCACCCACTTCCCTGCAATGTGGTGCCCCCTAGTTATGTTTGTTGGTTTATAAACCCCATTAACTATAGTTATAGGATGTTTTAAGTACCATAGACCATAGTTATTGGAGTTATTTGCACCAACTTAGCTATCTAGGAGGCACCACTTCCCTGCGCGTTATAGATCCTAACAGATGGTATAACCCGCATAATGCGTAGAATAATTATGAACATTATGATCCGATACTAGCATCATCCGAACTTCCAGTTCTGGGAATCATTCTTCCCAGATGCTGTGTAATTTTTATTTACCAACATTTACCCGAACAAATTCACCCAGTTTTGTACAATGTGAGTCCCCCAGTTATAAGTTGGTTTATAAACCCCTATAGTTATAAGTACCGTAAACCATAGTTATTGGGTTTATAAACCAACTTAGCTATCTTGGGGGCCTCACATTGTAGGTAAATATTCCAGCACCATGCTTCGCGAATCTGGGTATGGATTCCCTGCCCACACCTCTGTGCAGCTGCTCAGGGCGGCGACGAAACGGATGGAGGAAGGCAGAAATTGGTTCGGGAATGTTTTTCAAGGGTTCACATGGCAGGGAAAAAATGGTGTTTTTTCATGGGGCTGTTATTCTATATCGGAAAAAGATGTCTTCAGATGTCTTCAGAATACGTGATAGATCGTGATAGAAGATGAAAAGGAGGTTAGATTCAATACTACAACTGGTTGGTGGTTTGGAACATGTTTTTTTTCCCCATATATTGGGAATAATAATCCCAACTGACTAATATTTTTCAGAGGGGTAGGTATACCACCAACCACTACAAAATAAGCATGTGTTTATCAAGTTTTGGTGGTTTCAATCCATGTTTTGTTTTTGTCATATCCCCGACATGCGAACGCCGCGCCGCAACTCCCGCGGAACCCTTCGGGTTCCGGGACTTGCCAGGTCTTGTGCTAGCCCAAGGAGTCGGGTATCTGATGTGTGCCTCGGTTGCTGATCGCTAAGTTTCAATGAGAATTTGGAATGGATGGAGTGTTTCTTTCCATAGTTTTTGCTCAATATCAATCAGATTTTGAAATAAAAAACTACGGAAACATGGAGTTGTGGGCATGTTTTGACATGGACATCTGGAAGATCAGGATTTCACCACAATGGGAGTTGGAACAGTTGGAGCCGAAAAAAGACCTTAAGCTTCCAAGTGACTTTAGGTGAGCCATGAAAGGTTGGTGCATTTTGGGGGACAATCAAGCAATAGTTTAACCAATCGTAGGAGATAATTAATATGGTTATAATATGACCCACCCCCTAGAAAATTATTCCAGAATATCAACCATAGTATTCCAGAATATTTTATAGTATAGTTGAATATAGGAGATATTACTATGTTAGAATATCAATATATAATATCTCCTGGTTATGGAACAATGTTAGACTACTATGTAATTTCTTGGCGATTATGATAGGGAAAGCTGTATCTCGCAACTAGTATATGCTTGTTTTTTTGATTGGATAGGGCTATTTTTAATGGCTCAAATCAGGTGCGGAATCTAGTAATAAGATGTAATAAGCATCGTTAGATGGGATTTCCAACTGCCCAACTGTGTTGGTCACATCTTTTGTCGGGTTCGACACTGCGTTGGATATTGCTTTCCACTGCGGGAATCGTAGCCATAGCCAATGTTGACTTGAAGAGTATGTGTCCGAAATAATTATGAATACCCTCTGGTTATTTAACAGTTCGCCATGGAAAATCACCATGCTATTAATAGGTAAACCATCTATATACCATCTATTTCTATGGGCCATGGCTTCCATGGCTAACTCTGTCATGATTCGACAGGTGGATAAGCAACCCAGATGTGCTTTCCAACATCAGAGTCGATGAATTCATAATTTCCATGTCCGAGTGGCAGCTAGGCAGATGACCCACCTCTAAACATGGGAATCGGAAATCCCTCTGTTTCACTTCAGATACAGTAATCATCTACAAATACAAGGTGAGGCCCCCCAGTTATAAGTTGGTTTATAACTCCATCAACTATTAGTTAAGAAAAATGGCATAGCCTCCTTAAACCCTGGTTAACTGTTAACTAAGTTATGTGTCTCAACTTAGCTATAAAAAAAGGGGAACTTTGTTCCAGGGATGGACGAGAGAGAGGTTAGATTTGGGTACACAACAAGCTTCCCCTTGATCTACACCCCAACTCTTGATGCTTACCCTAAAAAACCAAACCTGGCGACGGGCAGGCTCCACCATTTCTGGTTGGTGGTTTGGAACCATGGAATTTTATGACTTTCCATATATTGGGAATGTAATCATCCCAACATATCCCAACTGACGAATTCATATTTTTCAGAGGGGTAGGTATACCACCAACCAGATTTAGTTGGATCATGTTCTCTCCGAAACGCCTCCATTGATGATGGATGTTCCTGATGTTCCATTGCCACGCTTGATTACCAGAGGGTCAATCTCAATGTTTGATGGATGATTTCTTTTTTTGCGGGCAAAAAAAAAACGACCCCCATCTCCCTTGCTTCAAAGCCTCAAAAAGTGCTTGGTTATCCTGGGAAGATGATCCCAGTTGGAATCGAAAAAAACGTGTGGAAAAGAAATTGGGGGATGTAAAACCCCCTACAAATGGCCATTGAACATCATTTAACCATGATTAGCCATGATTAACCAGTGAATTAATCCTCTCTCCCTATTACTAAACCTCCCCCAAATGGTAAACACAGTGATCTATTTTTATTCTTCGGAGGTATTTTGTATTAGGGTGCCCCATGAAAGACTTCAGAGTGTCATGGTAAGACATGGTTGGATGGGGGGTATCTATGGGTATCTATACTATAGATATTTCATGATATTCATGGTGTCCCTGCAGCTCGCAGCTGAAGTGCTTTAGCTTTCGCGAGTCGTCCGCCACGATGGAGCGCCGCCGCTTGTGGGTGGAAACAGCGCCCGTCATGTCAACACAGGGATGTGTGTTCAACATGGCGCAGAAAGCACTAAGCACTAAGATGGCTTGAGACCGTTGGATTTATCTGCCTTGGATTGCAATGGATCCTAGAATCAGTGTGGTTCAGATGTTGAGATGCATTCAGCAACTTGGCCGGGACAGCGCTACCTCAGTTACATTTGTTTGGGTTTCTCAAAGGTATTTACAGTCGTATGGCCCAGGCTCAAAAGGCCCCCAGAACGCATGGCTCTAGATACGTACTGAATTGTTTGGTGGTTTCGCAGTTTCACATGATGCTTACGCATTTTCAAGTTGATCACACTTCAGGAAGCAGGGGGTGGGTTGATTCCACCAGGCCGTGCTTCGAAGAGACAAGCGCCGAGATCGTCAAGCAGATTCAGCTGGACATGTCAAGGCAGCACGACGACCTTGGAAAAACCTACTCACGGGCCCCTATATGTGGGTGAACATATTGCACCTATAATGGCTGAATGGGTTGCTTGAATCCTATTTTGGGTAGGTCCGTTGGTACCTCACGTCTGAGCCATGCTTGTTTTGACGGACCTCAGTTTGGGTGATGTTGGCAATATATGTAGGCACATCACGGATTCTGCATTGCTTGTGCTTTTGCACGGTGGCGCATGACTGTTAGTACCCCCGTTGTCACTGGATGGAGAGCCACACATTTTGATGTTTGTGTGTGTGTGTTTTCGGCGGGCTAGATGAGTTTACCAGTTCAACATACATCCCACTGCAAGTTCAACTGTAAGCACAGGAGCAACAAACACCAAAGTCATTTGTTCTATCCGAATGCAGCCATGTTTCATCAGAATGCGGCCATGTTTCATCACCTAGGACAATGCTTTTACATGGGGACCAAGAATCTGTGTTGGTCCGCGAAATTTTCCATAGATCTTGGCTGGTGGTTTACGGTTTCGTTTTCTCACTGGAAGTATGCTTCAAATTCTTAATTGTTTGGGTCACAACCCTGTACAGACTGGGATCTATCGGATATACAGTAGGTATACAGTAGGTCAACAACCCAGTTGCTATCGATTCTATAGGGGTCATGTCTGCACCATCCCGTGCACTCAGGAAGACATGTTCCACGCGGACAGCCTGAAACTCTTTGAGGCCATTCAAGGTACGGCAGATCAGCTGCGCTCCATGGTAAGAGAAGCGTGCCCGGACATAGCTGTCAAACTGAGTGAAGCCGATGTTGACTTTTCCCCGATGATTGTTCAAAATTGGATGGTCGACATTTTCATCAATGTATTGCCCACAGATGCAGCTGCAAGGGTGTGGGGCCACATCATCCTGGACAATGTGCCAGGATTGCCACTCAAATTTTCGTTGAAGTTGTTGCTGAGCAGCCGGAAACAGATCCTGAAATCCTTGCCGGAGGACCTGAATGAGGTCCTTACAAAGATACCCAGCCGAATCCAGTCTTCTAAAGATGTGGATTGGCTGTTGGAGATGGATCTGACAACGGATCCGGTTCAGAACTCCGAGATCGCAGAGATTACTGTAGCTATGGTTCTCCCGTGGCTTTTGGTGCCTGGGCAGGCTGCAGTGCACCAGCCCCATGCTCGTGGCCCTGCGAGACCACCAGTGTTTCCCAAGCCGTGTTTGAAGGGGCACATTCAATTTGTTGGCTACTGTTTGTGAAGCCATGCATGGGACGAGATTATACTTGTCATGTCTAGTGTTTTCAAGACTTGAGTGCAAGTTCAGTGTGAAATATGTGGAAGTTGACAACATTGGTTTCCTGTGCGTAAGCTGTCGCGATTCCTTGCCAAGTTGCGAAGCACCGAATTTGAAATTGCACGATCACGAGCCAACCTGAGCCAAAGGCTTGCAGTTTTAGCACACAAATAAGATGCTAGTTGAAGCAGGGGCTCAGGTTGCGCAAGTTCCATGCAATGGGGATGTTTGGTGTCAACGTTTCCCAGAACGGTTTTCATACTCCAAAGCCTCACTGATGTTTTGGACCATTTGCTAGGTCCTAGGTCAACACTCCATTTGGCATGCCACAAAGCGTTGACGCCACGTAGTCCCCAAGTTTCTATCTTCCAAGGCTCCACCACTGAGTGGATGAGATGTACCAGTGTACCCCATGGATTTCATGGGGTTGTGATGGAGTGTGAACGGATACAGACAGTGACCCACGAAGGTCAACCCGGTTCTCAGCGGCGTTAGTGCCCTGCCAGCGCCTGGAGAGATACCCGGCGTTCAGGGAGAAAAAAGGGGCCAGCTGTTCTAGCACAATGATGCAGAATGTGTATAATCCGCATTCTGTCGTGTGTGCATTGATCCTACAATGTAAATATGTATACATGTACCATTAACATATTACCTTCCAGTGTTGTAGGTTGGTTGGGCAGGGTCTCACTGGGGTGTGAAACATGTCTGTGGTTGTGTGAATAGATGATCTTGTTGCCAATTTTGGCTCAAGATCATATATTCCACCTGTTTTTCTTCCCCACCCTCGCCGCCCTGATCCCCTTTGCGGGGTGATGGGCACAGGGTCTTAGTGTGGTTTGTCATCTACTACCCTGTTTTCCTAATATTCCAATGAAAACCTTAATAATAAAAATAAAAAACTCGATTTCAAATTTGATTAAATCCCTTATTAAAATCTATATAAATTTGCCAAAAACTGAATTTCGAAGCTTTCCTCTAATATTCCAATGAGAACCGTAATAATAAACATAAAAAGTAAAACTTGTGAGATGGGACCCTAATAAAAACCTCCAGGTGGCATTCATTTTACTAGTATGGGGTTGAACCCATTGTTTCACCATCCTGTTCTCCGATTGATTCTCAATTACCACAATTAAGGATCCAATTGTGCCCAACCAAAAAAAAAACGGAAGTGCCACACCAATCCTTTTTTTTTTTACTTGGCGGAGTTTTAGTAATAGGAAGAAGGGATTAACCATGACTAACCATGATTAACCAGTGAATTTGGAGGGTTGCCCAACCAATTTTTCCAGACAAACCTAGCAGCTGCCGATCTCGCTAAAGGTCACACAAGTCAACGGCAGATGTTGCGGAGTCTGAGGAGGCGACGACGGATTTTTTTCGTGGTGGTAACCCAGGATTTCATGGTGATTTAAGGGGTGATTTTTATGGGGATTAAATGTGATGGAATGGTGATGTGTGATGGAAATTTCACCCATGATGAATGATGATTTAATTGTGTTTTAATGTTGCGTTCATGGTGGTTGATGCTGATTTGGTGGTTTTTTTAAGGGTGATATCAGGATATATGACCGACTGAACCGAGTGGTTTTGGGGGAGCCAGTTGGATCTATGAATTGAGTTTCCCAACCACTGTGGTTCGTAGTTTTTGTTCAATTAGTTTAAAATATCAGGAAAAAAACTATTTATCCCAATTATTTATACTGGAGTGTGTTTTTGAGTATGAATTATAGTAATTGAGAGATTCCGCAGCAAAATACAGTAAACATGGTCGGAAAACATCATGTTTTACCGACCAAGACACATGATCACATGGATTCTGGATGCAAGCGGTGGTTTCACCTCCAAGTTAGCCAACACGTTTGGTGGTTTCCGGAATGTTTGTTGATATTGCTCTATCAGAAAATGTGCACGACAGACTTTCACGATTCTCCAGGTTTTTCACTACCAATATGCTACCAACTAAGAAATCTATTTATTTTTGTTTTTTCTGAATTGCTGTATATAATGAAAGAATTTTCTGAAAATAATTGAGTAACCCAACCACCACACGAGCTTTGTTTGCCTGTATGAGATTTTGGACCAGCTGAAATTGTGGTGCAGCCAACATCACATGTTGGCTGATGTCCAGACCAGCAGTTTGAAAAGTGGAGCGATTAATGCAATGAAAGTTGACGACATTGACAACACGGTCCCATTATATAGTTATATGAGTTATAGATATAATTGGATATACAGTGTATATATATATATAGATCGTTCACTTGTCAATGACAATTTGTCCAGCACACATTCCCCTGTCACAGGCGGATCTGATCTGTGTACTGCTTGTGGTGACTTGGCAAATCTGCAGCCTGCATTGAGATGGGGTACTTTCACTTTCAACATGTATTGGTTTTTGTTGATTCACTCTGCTCTTGAGACTCTTTGAAATCTTTGTGTGTGGACTTGCCCGCTTTTGCTACACACACTGGCTACAGTGTATATATGTATATAGAATACATTCAAGAAACTTGTAGTTTCGGACTTCCAGGTTTTTTTTCGAAGTCGAACGGATCTGTTTTATTATTTCATGTTCATGATAGAAGTGGTGGAAATTAGAAACTGGAGTATCAGCGAAAATGCCATGTTGATGCACATCCATATGTGCCACGGCCAAAACTTGGGTGAAATGGCTATATCGAGGGATGGTCACCCATTTTCATTCAATGCGGGGCCCCCTAGATGGCTAAGTTGGTTTATAACTCTAATAACTATGGTTTATGATGCTTATAACCAAACCTAATGGGGTTTATAAAGCATCTTATAACTGGGGGGGGCGCACATTGTAGGGATTCCCATGAGCAGGATTTCCTAATAATGGTTGGATGAGATGTTTTGACCATGGTACATCTATTTTCAGTTTCAATATTAGCATCATCCGTCCTGCCGCTTCAAATCAGTGTAGAAAGTCAGTTGATAAGATATGATACGCTCTGGTAAACCAACATAGCTATTGAAAATGGACCATAGAAATAGTTGATGTACCTATTAAAAGTGACCATTTTCCATAGCAAAATGTGAGTTTTCCAAAGGGCATCAGACTTGATCTACCTATCGGTCAACGTGTCAGTCCGCCCCAGGCGCGACACAGCGAACGCACGCCCAAGCAAAAGGTGAAAGCGACGGTGTGGGTCCCAGGATGTGGGCCACTGGAGACCTGGGGTAATGATTAATAAATACTAACTATGATATATATATACATACTAACATGAAGTAATGATATATATATATATACATTATGTATATATATATATACTAACCATTTGAAACGTTATTTTTGTATGTTTTTGCTGCAGGGTATGCAAGGTATCTAAGGAACTGGCAGTGCAAATACTTGTAGAATTCATGATGGAAGACTTTCCAGATAAGTACCATTCAATAGGGCTTGCCATGGCCCGGTCCTCTATTTCAACCTGACACCTTGTGATGGTGAAACGAGAATCTTCTTGGCCACAAGTGGTTGATTTGGGGGGTCCTACAAGGGGGCTGTACCCCAATAGCTGGTAAGTTTAGTTGCTAAAAAAATCCCCCAAAACATATTGGTTGATTTTGGGGTACCCAAGCGGACCCAACCCCCATGACTTAGGACACCTCCAGAAATTGTTGGGTATGTCTCCGGTGACACAAGCTTGGCCATGGTACAATGGTACAATAGTATGAATATGTATGTGTATATATATATATATGTATATGATATATACATATATATATAATATACATATATATATATAATATATACATATATATATGTATGTAATGTATGTATGTCCTTCTTCACATCGGAGACATTTCCACCCCATGTTGCAGCGGCGAGGTGAACTTGTCATCGGATTATGGGGCTGGAATGCTGCTGGGCCAATATTTGGGACTGGCTGGGAAATCCGGGTGGGTACGAAGGACCCAGAGTTGCTTCATTTTTATTATATTTATAGACTTGAGACCTCAGACTCAGAGTTGCCGGGTATTGGGTATTATTTATAGACTTTCCATTATCCCAGGTGCATTTCGCAACCATCCACAACTGGTTGGTGGTTTGGAACCATGGTTTTTTTTTCCCATTCAGTTGGGAATCACCATGGATTTTTTTCCCCATTCAGTTGGGAATATTTTCATCCCAATCCCAACTGACTTTCACTCCATGATTTTTCAGAGGGGTAGGCGAAAAACCACCAACCAGTCTAGCATTGAGCCGTCCATTTTTGACATGATCCCCCCAGAAGATGGAACAGTAAATCACTATTTTAGTAGGATGATTCTACTTTTCTATTCTTTTGGCGTTTACTATATATATATGTATAGAATAGTCTACTATATGTATATACGTATATATATATATATGTATATGTATATATATATATATGCAGAGGAATGGATGAATGTAGTTGTTCTATTTTTATGTATGAGCTACTTTCTATAGGTATGTATATATGACTATAAAGCAACAGCAGATCGTTGTCGCTTTCTGACGATTTCCATAGCCATCTTCTCACCCCATCGCCATACCAAGCTATGGCCGTCCCATGAGGTTTGACATCCCAGGGCTAGATGCAAAGATTAACAACATCCTCTCACCAGAAGAAACTTATATTGGGAACATGTTTCCATATATTGGGAATTTCATCATCCCAACTGACGAACTCATATTTTTCAGAGGGGTAGGTATACCACCAACCAGGTGAAGATCATTTGAAAAAAAAACAATGAATAATTATCTATGTGCATAAAAAAATAGTATTTCTGACCAGCATTTTTCAGGAAAGAAAACATCTCCAGATCCAGATCTTCCATCCCAGGCTTTTAGGCTGGCTTCAGGGTGGAGTGGTGGCGGCCAATTCAGTCCTGGCCGGGGAGCTCAGCTTCCATTCCTGGATGGGGGGGAAGGCTTCGATAGCTTTTGAAGTTGACATATGGTCAATGGGAATTTCAGGATCCTAAAATGGAGGTACTGTACCATATAAGGCAATATTTTAGGGGGATATCCCCTTACATAGCCCTTATATAGGCCTTATATATGGTAGGTACCTCCATTTTAGGATCCTGAAATTCCCATTGATATGGCTGTGGCTGAATTCGATTGGGTTTATGGTAGATATAATTAACTATAGTTCATGGGGGTTATTTCATGGTTTATAAACCAACTTATGGTTGAAATCTATATGGTTTATGGTAGATATAACGTATATAACGAGCTAGTTTTCATGGGGCGTATAAACCGACATTTTTCATGATGGGTGCATCAATTCCCCTTGATTTATTCCCACTCGATCACTGTAAAATCCAGCATTTTGGGGGGTCCTCCTAGTATGAAAAACGTCAAGATAAGGAAGCCTGGAATGGATAGATAATGCAAAACCTGGATTTCTTTGGGGCGGTGTGAAATATGGGTGAAACCAAGAATGATTCGTTGGGGTCGGTGAACTCCATCGATGTGGAGTCTTGATGGATAACATCCATCAAGAACCAATAAATGATATACCCTCTGGTTATTTGACATAGCTATAGAAAATCACCATTTTTAATAGGTAAACCATCTAATTCCATGGGCCATTTTCCATGGCTATGTTAAATAACCAGAGGGTGAATGGAGATGAAGCTTGTATATATTCAAATCAACAAATGAAGATACAGTCATGAACAATGTAGAGTTTCACATGAGAATACCCATTAGTTGTAAAATCCCCGCTGTCGTCAACTACAGTAGTATATGTTTCCACATTGGGGACTGCCTGTCTTCCAGTCAGCCCTGGGACCAACATCTGTTCCATCATTCAAGAGGTAGCGCTGATTCACGAATAAATTGATCCATATATCCATACATATCCATACCCAGGGCATTGGCGTTTTTTTTGGTAGATTTCACAACTCGATCCATGCGATCCATGGAACATCATGGAACGAAAATCTCACATTTCTCGGCTCGGAATACCAGCAGGAGTCCTACCGACCTAAAGATTTGAATCGGATGAGACCCAAAAAGCAGTAGGATACGAATCCCCACCAAAAAGAGACCCAAAAAAAACATCCCTTGTTTTGTTGGACCCCGAAAACAATCTGATCTGTAAAAAAAAACATGAAAGAACAACTGATGAATTTCACTATTTTTTTCGATGTTTGTCGTTTCATGAACTAGCGAATGTTGGGCATTAATTCTGATTTCTAATACCCCACCTACCCCCAAACAATTGAGGAAATCCCACCTACCAGCTCATCGATCTCCCAAGTATCAGACATATTTTTGCGGCTGCTTACAGTGCGTACCACCATATGGGTTTGTCCTAAAACAGGTTGCTCACTCGTCATCACTTCCCTACTCTGGAAGAAATCCTGCACAAATGGATAGGTGTAAAAAAATCCATCATTTCCACCCTTTCAGTATATATCTAGCTCTTGTTTCATGGCAAAAACCTGCAGGTTTCCGCGGACAGTTTTCCCAATGAAATTCCCTAAATCATACCGTGGATGGGCCAGCAAAATCCTGCACCAGTTGAAAACGGTGGTAAACATCCCATTATTTATAGACTTTCCACTATCCCAGGTGCATTTCGCAACCATCCACAACTGGTTGGTGGTTTGGAACATGAATTTTATGACTTTCCATATATCGGGAATTTCATAATCCCAATTGACGAACTCCATCATTTTTCAGAGGGGTAGGCTCAACCACCAACCAGACAATTAGAGTCTAATCTAATCATCATTTTCTTCGCCAAGTTCTTCGCCAAATTCACCCTGGTCTCCCTGGTTGGACGCATCCGTTGGTCGCTCCAGGTGACCCCTCGCACCTTGGAGCTTCGTGCAAAGGATCAGTTGCTGCGCTTAGCAGATGCTGCCAGGCGAGAAAACACCAGCAGGGACGCTGGGGAAAGTTGGAAGATATGGTGAAACATATGGGGGTTTCCATGGGTGACCAATAGCTGGATGGTTTACAATGGAAAATCCCAATCTAAAATGGATGATTTAGGAGTGCCCCTATTTTAGGACAACACCATATGGAGGTTTCCGTTTTGTCAGGGGGATACCCCAGTCATCATCCAGTCGTCATGACCATGACTTAGTATCAAAACAACCATGGTGACGCCTGGGGATCTTCCATTTTAAGAAACACCCCATATAGAAGTATACCCTCTGGTAAACTAACATAGCTATTGAAAATGGCAATTTATAGTGAGAGTTCCCATTAAAAATTGTGTTTTTCCATAGTTATGTTAGTTTACCAGAGGGTATAGGAATAGATATATGGTATGTATGATATATAGTTTGTAATAGCCATGAAATTGGAAGATATAAAAATACAAACAAATTAGATATAATTAGTGATGTATGTATGTATAACATATATATATATATAGAATGGGGGTCAACCATGCATAAGATTGATTATATATATAGTTTATACATAGAAATAGGACCTAGGACAATACGGGACTCAACCAGCAGGTCTGGGAATATTAGCCAATATCAATGCTGAAGGCGTTCATTTCTCCGCCAGAAATGGACCATGAAACAACTTGAAGCGAGAATCTTTCAACACAACTGTGAATACACTTCTGCAAATAGATACCTAATATCTATATTATATCTACAATATATCTACAGTATATCTACGTGATATCTATATTATATTCTGCATATGCACATACGTATACATACAGGATGGTGCCCCCCAATGGTAATGAAGTTGGTTTATAAAGCCCATGAAAACTACTCCTAGTTCGTTATATCTACCAATATCTACCAATATCTACCATAAACCATATAGAATTCAACCATAAGTTGGTTTATAAACCATGAAATAATCCCCATGAACTAGTTCGTTGTATCTACCATAAACCATAGAATTCAGCCACTTATGTAAGGCGTTTCGGTTCACGCGATCGCTTTTTCACGGGGCCCCCATCCTGTGGCGCATCCAGGGAGTTGCTCAAGCATGGCCATGAAGTTGGCACATTATCCGATGCCCTGAACTGCATCAGCAAGGAAGGCCGGTCATGGAGATAGAAAAAAACAAATGCCAAAAATATGGACATTGGGGAAACATCATGATGATTCACCATTTTATTTTAGGGTTTTGGCTCGGTATCCTAGTTACAGTTCGCCATTTTTGGTGAAGCTGGGAAGTGCCTTCCGGAAGTTGTGGAGGGGCATAGTTTGATGGCGGTTTGATGGGAAACTCAGCTGACTTTGATTTGTTGGTTTTCGGTTGAGATATTTTTTTGGATCAGAAAGAATCCCATTATTTAATAGCCTGTTATTGGATAGTGTTTATTTGGACAATGGGATATATGGGATATAACCAAAGTATCAGATATTTAATAGCTTTTAGATACTTTGGTTATTTAATAGCCTGCTATGGAAGCATTGGCCCATGTGGTTTACCGTGGTACAATCCCATTGTAATGGTGATGTTCCAGTTCGCAAACTCTGAGTCATTACCAGAGGATAAATCATTGATAAATCCTCATTAAATCATCATTAAGTTTGCATTTTCCTACTAAATCAAAAAAAATGGCCCGGAACAAATCACCATTTCACTGGTCTCGCTTTGTTACGACTCGAGGACTCAAGTTGCGACTGTGTCGCCAGGTGCCACGTGCCATGCGAAAGTGGGTTGCGATGATGGACGGCTGGTGGTTGGCCGGAAATCCCAGTGACTCCGGTCGTCCAAGTCGTCTGTGCACCGCGGCTGAGGATGGGCCGAAATATTGCTGTGCCTCATCCTGATTCCCAGGGCTTCCTGATTCCCACGAAACCAACACTTGAACCAGTGCCATATTGAAGCTGTTCGAGTTTGATTCCCCCACAGACGCATTCATGTGGTAAGCCCAACAACCGTCCCCAATATTGCCATCAATGGCTCGTGACAATCATCGGAAAATAGTCGCTTTATATGGCTTTGATATATGGCTTCATATTGAAATTATTGAATGTTTACCACATGTGCATGACATGTACTTACTGATTTCAATATATCTGCTAGCTCTATATCATTGTACAATTAGCAAGTTACAATTTACCAAATTATGTCAAATGATGTCACTATCAAATCATTACAGACTATCGATTCATGGGGCAACTCGAATTGTGTCACCAATGGTTTCAGGCCCTGCCAATGACGTACCCGAGGTTTGAAGTGGGGTGGCGAACTGACCGAAGCGGGAATCAATGATGCAGAGGCCAGGCTTAATTTTGGAGATGGTGTTTACAGGTTCGCTTCATCTAAGACCCAATTACCATCTGGTTATGACTAACATAGCCATGGAAAATCCCAACCATAAATGGAGGTTTCTAGCTGGGAAAATCATCTATAAATGGGCCATTTTCCATGGCGAACTGTTAAATAACCAGAGGGTATCTCCAAAATGCAGCAGATTTCAATCCAACCTCCAGAGAATGCTCACGAAGTATGTTGAAGTTTCCCTGATGATTTTTTTCCTTTTTTCCTCTGGCAATTCAGCTGGGTCTGGCTGATTGAGGGCAGTCGGCCGCAGGAGTTTGGAAGGAACTTCAGAAGTGAAACGCCGGCTTGCTCAGATGTTTTTGTGGTTTTGGGTCCATAGAAACGACCGAAAAGATACAGTAAAATTGCAATATCCTACTATAAATGAGTGGTGATTTTTTCACCTTTTCTATTTGGGGGTTACCATATACATCATATACAGCTAGTTGTTTCCCAACTTCAAGGGTCTCATTTGTTTATCGGGTTTTGGCCTGAAACATCCGGCGCAGCAATACGTTTGATTGGGATAGTTTATGTTGGATGAAGTTGCATGTAAAAAATTTAATACTGTATTATCCACTGGTTGTTTCTATAGTTGGTATGTTTTCTAAAAAAAAAATGGTTGCTACAATCATGGGTTGTTGAGTGTTCATTGTTGAATCCGAAATAACATGTATCCCACTGTTGTTGTCCATATGCTTAGCACTTTGTACATTTTGCATAAAGACACTAGTTCCATTATTTGGCAAATCTAGTTTATTTGGCAAAACTAGAACATCCACATATATCCACATGGTCTATTGTTTGGCATCCAGTACAATAGATTCTAGTCCTATTCATAGAAGCAAAATCTACAGATTTTATACCACACAACAAATCTTGATATTTTATGGACTTGATGTTTCTGGTATAAACCTTATTGACATGTTGATATTACATTGACTAAATATAGATATTATAGTGGCTGAGATAATATGCATACATATATATAATATCTAGATATTAGTATACTTATATATATATAGATATTACAGATATCATATAGATATTATATAATCACATTACATATCATATAGATATTATATACGTATACCATTGATAACAGCCCGTTGTTTCATCACCATCCGCACATCCGAAAACCAGCCCACCAGGTACCCTTCGGAGGTCATCGATGAACTCCACGCCACCCTGCGTCACGATATGAAGATCTACGCCACAAAGCCCGGCGGCCGTGCGTTTCTGCGGCCAAGGGATGTGTTTCGAAGAAAATTTTTGTGGATGAATTCTATGGTTCATGGTAGATATAACGAACTAGTTAATGGGGATTATAATGGTTTATACATCAACAAACTACTGGTTGGTGGTTTGGAACCATGGAATTAGACATGACTTTCCCATCATATTGGGAAGAATCATCCCAACTGACGAACTCATATTTTACAGAGGGGTAGGCTCAACCACCAACCAGTGTATGTATATGTATATATATATATTCACATATATCATAGAGATATATAGTTCATATTCTGGAGGCCAGATAAATATATACATATAGCCAGATAGCTATGGCTAGATGGCTATGGATAGATGAACATCCAGAAACACCAGCTGTCAGCTGATGTTCACTTGTGGGGTAAAAGCTTTTCGCCCACTGCCATATGGCTAGAGGCTAGATATATAGTATATATCATAAATGATATATTATATATATATACATGTGTGGCTAGATAGTTTGTAATGATGTTTCATGATGATCTGATATGTGTGTATATATAATTACACCTGATATGATGTGTATCATGCGACTATGTTATGATGATATTAAATGATACTAATTTAGATATTAATAGTGATATATATATATATATCATATATATGTATTTATCATATATATATATATACCATGTAGGCATGTTTTAATATAACATTAAGATATTTAGCATGAATATATATATATATATACAGTATGTTTGATACATATATATATATAGTTCATATAGTATCAATATATGGCTAGATAGTGTATATTTATAGATACTGATTCATGCATATACAGATAATATACACATATTTGTCACAACAAAGTATATCAGTATATCTACAGTATAGAATATAGAAATCACATTCACATTTATTCATGTTGGTATCACCAACACTTATTGAGGGTATTGGTGGAGATGTAATCTCAAACCAACAAAGTCTTTCTGGGTACTGTAAATTGATGGGTACAAAAACACATGAGTTTGTTTGAACATGGGCTACTCCTGTGATACGGAGTGTCATCATATTCATATCAATGGCCATTGCAGGAACCTAAATTGGAGGTACCTACCATATATAAGGCCTATCTTTGAGGCCTAAATTTCAGGGAATATCCCCACAGTTCATGGCCAAACATATGGTACGTTTACGTACCTCCATCTGTTGGATCCTGAAATACCCATTGATCATATGTTTCCCATGTTTCCCAGTAGAATTGGTGGCGGCATACCCCACCGAGAGAGTTTCAACCCCAAGTCGGCACACCTCGGTCCACTCAGCACCTCGATGACTTGGCGCCAGACTTCTTCATGTATTTAAGCATCCCAACGATTACTTTTTTGGACTAATAGAACGCTGGTAAACATCACAAAAACAGTATCGTTAGTGAAAAAGGTCTATAGTCACTATAGTCCCAACATGTCCCAACTATCATTCCAACGAAGAATAGACCTTTTTCGATGAGGTTTGAATGTAAGATTTGGATTTTCATTTGCGCAGTGGCTTGGTCTGGGTATGTTTCAGCAAACGCACTTTCCCGGCGGGTGCGTCCGAAATGTTGCACCTATGTATACACCTAATCATGTATCATAATGTGTACAAAAACATATACACGTATCCATATGATCCATATTATATCATATTATGTTATATATTCATTTTACTGTATACACACATATTATATATATAGTGTATCTGGTTGGTGGTTTGGAACATTTTTTCCATAATATATGGGATAATCCTTCCCATTGACGAACTCATATTTTTCAAGATGGTGAAATGCTGGGATGTATTGTCCCCATATGTTCTGGATGGTTAATACTAAACTAGACTAACATTTGTGGTCCCCTAGGTCTTCCATTTTGACCCAGATCCAAATATACACATTGCTACCTCTCCCTAGTAGTTAATATTAGAAATGCTGGGATGTATTGTCCCCATATTATAAATACTAATGGAATTAATCCACCTAGTCATTAAACTTTTGTTAAGATGGTTAAAACATGTTCAAACCACCAACCAGGTATAAATATGTGTACATATGTTCTATTCTTCAGCCCTCTCCCTGCGGTTCAAACGACGCAGGGAGTCTCGATGTCAACAAACAGCTGCTGCGGTTTGTGGGGATTCCAAGCATCGATGGTTAGCCAGCGTTCACCGAGCCGTTCACCGGGAAGGGGAAGCCAACATGGTGAGGAAAATGGTGATTTTATGTAGGAAAATTGTGATTTTATGTAGGAAAATGGTGATTTTATGTAGGAAAATGGAAATTTTATGTAGGAAAATTGTGATTTTATGTAGGAAAATGGTGATATTATGGAGGAAAATGGTCACATCATGGTGATTTAATGAAGATTTAGCCTCTGAGACTCTGGTAAAACTAAAATGTTTATGGAAAATCAGCATTTTTAAGAGGTAAATCAACTGTTGTCTGGGCCATGGAATCAATAGCAAAGTGTTAGTCTAAAGGATAGTAGTGGGTTGTCTTAGCTACAGATTGGTGGTTTCATGTATTGGTGGTTCACCTACCATAAATGAGGAGTTGTACGAACCAAATATAAGGATAGATGATAGGGATATCACTGAATATAAGCAACAAAACGCCCTTGTGGTTTCGGATATGGTTCGTTTCCATTTTCAGGACGCGTCCTGACTAATGATTCCCTTGGTGACCAATAGATATTTCAGGCTATGGATCAATAGCTGGAAATACAGTTTGTTGGGGATGAACATCCAGAAATCCCAGCTATGGGATGACACCAGAGGGTACCAGGTGGTACGGCCATTTTCAGTAGCTATGTTAAATTACCAGAGGATATCCCCAGCATCGTTGTGTTCATTGAGTTTGAAACCATCGACCACATGGTTGATGGAAGTCCTGACAAAAAATGAGAGAATCTGGACAAATTCATGATACGGTGGATGGGCCAGCGAAATCCGGAAAACCAGTTGATAGGTGGTAAACATCCCATTATTTATAGGGTTTCAACCATCCAAGGTGCAGGATTTTGCTGGCCCATCCACAGTATTATTTGGTACCCACGGTACCCAGAAAAACGCTCGAAATCCGGCTCTGACAATGGATACTAGGCCTGGTATGGCTGTTTCAGAAAACATCTGTCAGGGGGAGTGACATGATGTGTCCAGCCTTGGTTTGGAAAACTGTCCAGTTGAGTTGCAGGATTGCAGGACCAGTATTTGTTGGGAATAGCATGACCCAAACTAAAAATCACATAAAATCACCCTTTTTGTTTTTATCCCCAGTCATCCCAATCATAGTTAAACCATTATAATCCCCATTAACTATAGTTATATCTACCATAAACCATGTAAAAATCACATAAAATGGCTTTCAACAACATCCCCAGTCATGGTAGGTCAAAATCATGAAGATGTCACGGAGCATTGGATCTGGGGATTTCCAATCGAACAACTCTTTGTGAAAAAACTGACGTTGCAAAGGAAGCAATGTTTGTAGTCCGCCGTCTTTTTGTCTGATTGGTGGTTTGGAAATATTGATTAACTATGGTTTATGGTAGATATAACTATAGTTAATGGGGATTATAATGGTTTATAAACCAACAAACACTGGTTGGTGGTTTGGAACCATGGAATTAGAAATGACTTTCCCATCATATTGGGAAAATTTTCATCCCAACTGACTTTCACTCCATCATTTTTCAGAGGGGTAGGTATACCACCAACCAGTTTGTTCATGTACTGTATTACTCCGGATTTTTTTCTGCACTATATCCTCAGTATATCCGAATGATATCCCTATGTTTCATCATTTTCGGTTGGTTGAATACCGCTGTTTCGATGCTTACAGTAATTGGTTTGGTTTCACTAACTTCTGATCTTTTTACAAGTTTGAATCCCCCTAACAAAAATTGGGTTGCCCTCTGGCAATCAAACATGACTAGCTATGAAATCACATAGATAGAGTTGTTCAATGGGAAATGCATCCAAACATGTAGTATTTTCGATTGCCATCTTTCGTTCCCGGGGTGGTAATTATTTGAATTTGTTATCGTTTTCTATGTATTGATTGTTCATTGTCATGATTTTTGTACTTGATGGTTTCTGAAAATGCGATATCCCCAAGTCATCATGGATATCATGGCTTTTAATATTTTTTAATACTAAAATGATCATCCGTGACTTGGATGATTGGAGCCTACCCACAGTGGAAAGAAATGATGTTGCTGAAATGGGGGTACCCCCAGTCATCATCCATTTATAGATGGATGTTCCATCATAAACCATCCTGAAATGGGGGTACCCCCATCTATGGAAAGCCCATCTGTCCTTTTCTACTGGTTGGTGGTTTGGAACATAAATTTTATGACTTTCCATCATATTGGGAATAATCCCCCCAACTGACGAACTCCATCATTTTTCAGAGGGATAGGTCAACCACCAACCAGATGGTTATTAATGGTTATATATGGTTATTAATAATGGCTAATGGTTATTGATGGTGGTTAATGGCTAGTTGATGGTTATTACAATAATGATTAATGTGGCTAAAACAATGACATCTGTTGAACTTTGAATTCCCCTTTTTTGTTGGTAAACTATGTCCCTCTGCGACTTTGGTCGCCAAGGCAAAGGTCTCATGCGCACGCACTGCAGCTTGCCTCAGATGTCTTGCGAGGGGATCCCCCAAGTCACGACATAGGTTTGAATACTGAGTCACGATCTACTTACCCGGCCTGGTAAACGTTTACATAACGAACTGGAAAATCACCATGCTATTAATAGGGAAATCAATGGAAATCAACTATTTCGACTGGGCCATTTTCAATGTCGCAAACTGTGAAATTACCGGAGGGTAAATGATTTCGGGGTAGCCCCATTAAATGGACACCTCCAAGTCTCAAATCTCTGTCAGATTTTGCTGGGCCGGCCTCCTTTCTCTGCTTATTGTTGACCTTGAAATCGCATTCCATCTCACATGTTTGACCGTTTTTTGTTGCTTGGTCTCAAACGACCATGAAAACCACCTAGCCAGCCATGAGTGAAATTCCCATGGTGACGTGGACCACCTCCGTTCAGGTCAAGAACTACCTCCGTTGATCGCCGCCATGGCAACTTAGCTCCGTTGAGCACGGGGCCAGGGGTAGTTCCTGGAGAGGAGAGCCATCTATGTATCATAAGAACTCTTTAGTCTTTATTAACATCACTGGAACATGCATTCTTCACAGCGTATCCTTTGATTTGCTTTCGTTTCCTTCGGGTTCCTTTGGTTTCCTTCAGTTTCTTTTGATTTCCTTTGTTTTTCTTTGGTTTGGGGCTGGTTGGATTCTATGGTTCTCCTTTGGTGTCCTTTGTTTTCCTTTGGTTTTGTTTGGTTTCCAAGGGAGAAACAAAGGAAAAGAAAATCCAAGGAAAAGACAAACCAATCAAGGAAAGTTTAAGGAGGCTATAAGCTCACAGAATGCATCAATCATGCCTGTTACTAAGGGGACTGCTAGAATAAATATATAAATATATATATATACAATGTACCTATGTATAATTATATATATATAATATGTACGTATGTATATATATAATATATATAATGTAAAATGTGTATATATTATATATATACATACGTATATATTATATTTATATATATATAAATAAATATATATATATATACAGTATATATAAATGTGAAAACCTATGAAATTACCATATTTTCGGGTATAAACATCCATTAACCAACTTTTTTAGGGTCCCTATGATAGCAGGGTTTTGACCATACCCGTATCAGGGATTGGCAATGCCCCATTTTAGGGGATTGTTTCACATCGCTTGAAAAAGTATCTGCTGGAGATTATATCCCCAATAGTTGGGTGATGTTCAAATAGGACATGTTGACATGTTTTAACCCCTGTATATCTCTAGGGTATAGAATGCAACCCTCAAGCATCATGTCAATGGATTGGTTTGGGGATTTTTTTTTCAGGAAAACCCAAGATTTTTCATGGTAACAACCATGATTTCCTGTAATTTTTCCCTTGAACCAATCCATTGATAATAAGGTTTATTTGAAAGACGGTAACGACGGTAACCTATGATGACTTGGTGAACCTGTAACCAATCTGGGGCAAACCTGTTATGCCTTGAAGCCGACGATGATCCCTGAAGCCGAGCTTTGTGCATTTTCCGCCACGAGAAATATTCAGAGTTCGTGGCGGTGGCAATCAAACATGGCTGGAAATCCCCAAACTCAATGGAGGTGACACCAGGATTTGGCATATTTTTGCATCGTAAAAAAGATGCCAAATTCTGGGTGAACTCTAGGTGTGAAATACCAAGAATCTTTCTGGATTTTGCTGGGCAAATTCTGAATGATCCGATATCAATTGATAAATGGGTGTGTCTGAAAATAGGCTACCCCTAAATCCACTAGTTTGCCATGATTTTCCCTATTAGAAGTGCCATCCGTTGGTATACCTCAATTTCAAACAGGTTCTCAAATCTATGTTGCTGGTGACATTCCTTCCAATTTACCAAGAATCTATGGATTAATTGATAAATTATATGATAAATTGATCCAAGATTAATTGATAAATCATGGTGTGCTGGTGAAAATCCTTCCAGTTGATTGACAGATTCGTGCGAAAACTTGCTGAGGTACGAACCGATGAGTTTGGACGGCTCGGAGGCAACGGAGTTTCACCATGTTTCACCGCTGGATGGTTGATTTCATGGACATCATGGGAAAATCCCAGGTACTCGGAGTTTCCAAGTTGTAGATAAACACCAATAGTTGGATGGTGCTTTGGAACATAAATTTTATGACTTTCCCATCATTTTGGGAATGTCATCATCCCAACTGTAGGTATACCACCAACCAGCAATAGTTGGATGGTTTATAACCCTCTGCATCCCTTGATACTGGTTGGTAAAGAACATGATTTCCCCTTCGTGGATTGAAAAAAAAAACTGTTTCTTGGTTTTTGTTTTTGATCCCCGAACGGAATCATCAACCAACCGAGGGGTATTTGAGCCACTGCTCAAATGGTTTTATATAATATTGCAACAGTGCCTTGGGAATTGGGATATCCTTGATAACGGTAGCATAGCTCATTTCAATTCGTGAGGGGTTTCCATAACTGGGGGTACCACAATAGCTGGATGGTGGGTTTCATGGAAAATCCATGAAAATCCCATTAAAATGGATGATTCAGGGTACCTTTATTTTAGGAATGAAACCCCCATATGACTGACTATTTTGGATGTTGTGATAATGACTGAATCTCCCCATTGGAAGCTCGAATTGCATCGTTCTTTTTGACGTAGGGATAATTTGGGATAAAGGACCAACAAGCCTATCCGAGCGAGTGGGGACGCAGATCTTCTCAGGATGTAGCAACATCGCCAGGATGTAGCAAGTATACATGAGATGTGTATCCTCCCAATTTATACACAACTGGTATCATCCAAAACTTTTCCATGGTTTATATGGTTTTATTGTAACCTACAGCCCTCATAGCCCTGTATGTTGGCGACCTACAGCCCTCATAGCTTTGTATGTTGGCAACCTACAGCCCTCATAGCCCTGTATGTTGGCAACCTACAGCCCTCATAGCCCTGTATGTTGGCAACCTACAGCCCTCATAGCCCTGTATGTCTGCAACCTGCAGCCCTCATAGCTTTGTATGTTGGCAACCTACAGCCCTCATAGCCCTGTATGTTGGCAACCTACAGCCCTCATAGCCCTGTATGTCTGCAACCTACAGCCTGTATGTTGGCAACCTACAGCCCTCATAGCCCTGTATGTTGGCAACCTACAGCCCTCATAGCCCTGTATGTTGGCCATTAATTTTCTAATCTTTCCATAGGAACCTGATGGTTTATCATTAGTTTTCCAATCTTTTCCCATAGGAATCTGATGGTATTATATATGTTTTCTTATCTTTTCTCATAGGAATCTGATGGTTTACCATAGGTGTTCTCATCTTTTCTCATAGAAATCTGATGGTTTACCATAGGTTTTCTCATCTTTTCTCATAGGAATCTGATGGTATTACATATGTTTTCTTATCTTTTCCCATGGGAATCCCATGGTTTACCATAGGTTTTCTCATATTTTCTCATAGGAATCTGATGGTTTACCATAGGTTTTCTCATCTTTTCTCATAGGAATCTGATGGTTTATCATTGGTTTTCCAATCTTTTCCCATAGGAATCTTATAATAATCGTTTATGGATGAATGAATGGTCACATTATTTGGGGGGGTCGGTTTTTGGACCCCCTCACTGGACCTTCTTGACCTAGTTGGCCTATAGGGGGGGGGTTATTAATCCGGAGTTAACATTATTTGTTTTGGTGAAGTCTAATAATTGCTTAAATATGATGTGGCTTACATGCTTAATCTGGTTGGTGGTTTGGAACCATGGAATTTTATTAATTGTCATATATATATATATATATGGGAATTTCATCATCCCAATATTTTTCAGAGGGGTTGGCGAAAAACCACCAACCAGCTATGGATTTCCCAAGTTTCCCATTCACTTGGGAAGTTCATTTTATCCCAACTGACGAAGTCCATCATTTTTCAGAGGGGTAGCTATACCACCAGGATGTAGTGTGGACCTCCCCAGGGCGACAGCACGATCCGATCCGATCGATTTTTACGTCACAAGTTTTTCAGGTGGACACCACAAGAACTACGCGAAGAAAGAGAAAGAGAAGAAGGAGAAGGACGAAAAAAAGGAGAAGAACCTCGGTTTTTTTTAATATCGATGTAAAAAAAATCTCGAAAAAAACTTTTTTTTAGAACTATACATAGAACACATCGATTTTCTTTATGTTGAATCCTGTTTCAGAAAAAAAAAAAAACAAAAAAACGTGGAAAACTGATGTTTCTTTCTTATTTCGCTTGGGATCACAAAAAAAATCTCCAGATGGGGGGACACAGGTCGCCTCAGGTGGACGTCGTCGTCGCAGGGGACGTCTCCAGTCACCGCAAATGGCTTGGGAAAGTCTCATAGAATGAGTGAAGATCGTCTGATTCCCATACTATTAGATAGAAATTCCCCATACAATCAATGGGAATTTCAGGATCCCAAAATGGAGGTACTGTACCATATAAGATCATATTTTGTTGGGATATTCCCTTGCAATAGGCCTTATATAGGCCTTATACATGGTAGGTACCTCCAATTTAGGATCCTGAAATTCCCATTGATACAATGGCTATGTTAACATACAGTAGATGTGTAATAATCAACTATTAGATGGGAAAGCCTCATATTTTTAGTCTTATTCATTCATATTATGAATCTGGTGCAGAACTGTCATGTCGCATCCGACTGGATCGCTGGATGGATTGAAAGTCCCCCAGGTTTGGGTCTCAGTTGGAGGTTTTTGAATCCAAGCAGCGCAAAGAGAGGCTTACACAATGAATGTTACACAGTAATGTGGTAAACCCAATGTTTTATACCATCTCCAAGTCCAGAATTTTTGTGGGTGGTAGTTCCACCATTCCCATGGTGGTTTCATCGTTCATCTTAGGAAGGAGAAGGATGAGAAGAAGGAAAAAGAAAAGGAAAAGGATGATGCGAAGGACGGTGAGAAGAAAGAAAACTTGGATTTGCTGAAGATGATTTTTTAAAATTTTTCCATGGGAAATCCACTACTTGGGGAATCTATAGCCCATGACGGATCCATGGTGCTGCTATATATGGTGCTCCATGGATCCCATCAATATACCCCCTTTATGTTAGCATATATACCAGCACCATGGATCCTATGGGTAGGGAATATGTTTGTTATTGTTTTTGGATTCCTTTTATATTAATGTTTACCATACATGTTACCATACATAAAACCATTAGGGAAACCTATGGGTAGGGTTGTGTTTCCTGAAGCAAATCCATGAAAAGGACGAGAAAGACAAAGAAAAGAAGGAGCGAGCGAACTTTTCCTCGACGCGACCGCAGGTTTTGTGGTCAAAGAGAAGAACCAGTTGAAGAACGATGAATTGTAGATGAATTGTTAGCATCCAGCTGACTATATAGACTTTTTTTCTCGTGCGGCGTTGGTAAGCTTTTCTTTATCATGAAGCTGCGCACTCCAACCGGTGTTTTTTGTTTTCAAAGGGTTGTTTGCTTGTTTATTATCACTAGATTTTGTCTTCGCGGATTTTGATTTCGGTTTCTGTGACACGTGCCCTCAATAATTATATAAGTTTGTAGCTAATGTCTTTCCAGCATTCGATAGTATGACAATATCATTGGAGCATAACTCGTGTTTGTGCAGTGCAAATCACCACTAATCCGGATTTCACTTCTGAACCCTTGGCACCCTTGGTCCTAGGAGTCCTCGATTTCAGAAAATCCCAACCACCATGTAAGGGTGGGTTGCTCCCCGGCGAATGTTTCAGAGATTGCTCTTGAAACCTCCAACCAAGTGAGTCTTTGATGTCCAAAAAGCGTGGCTTTGGCCGAGAAAAACAGGAGAAGAAAGAGAAAAAGGACAAAGACGGTGCTGCTCTCAACTGAAAAAAGGGCTATTATCCAAAAAACGGGGGATACACAACTAGAATATTGATATTATCATATACTCCAATAATTATAATATAAGCCAAGAAAAATCATGTTACCATAGAGTTTGATTAGGGAAACATGATGATAAGCCAGTGGGACGGCTTGTTTTTTTTGTTTGGACAGGTCCACGTGGCTAGGTAAACATCCCACAGTCGCCTAATAAGGTAAACCCAACAATAAACCATACCCATTTGCCTACCCTTTGGCCAATTCCTACTGGGGATTTATTTGTAAATAGGCTACCCCAAAAAAAAATCACCATTGTCACCACTAAAAGTGCAATGTTTTTTGGGTTTATCCCGATTTCAGACCCTCTTTGCGCATGTCGACAGGTGATGATAAGAAGTCCGAGGATCGAGAAAAGGACGATCGAGAACTTCCTCCTGCAGACACGCAACTCGGCGATCAATCTTGGGCGGAAAAGTTGCAGGAAACCTCCATATGAGAACATGGGGGATCTGTTTTATTTTGGGAAATCCATGGAAATCCATACGGGATGGGGCCCCCAGTCGATAGCGTGAACCGTTGCCTTACTAGATTTTTGTGGCTGAATTCGATTGGGTTTATGATAGATATAACATGATATAACTATACGTAGTATTCCTGGGGGTTATTTCATGGTTTATGAACCAACGTAAAAACATCACTGGGCCCCATCCTGGGGATATGTTGGGGCCCATCACTAGCCCTTGGGGCGCTATGGGGATGGTGAACCATCCAGGAAAACCCATGGAATCTGCAGGGTCTTGGCAAAAGGTGTTCTTGCAAGAATGAATACATGTTACCCTCTGGTAATTTAACATAGCTATTGAACATGACCATTTATAGTGGATTTTTCCATTGAAAATGGTGATTTTCCATAGTTATGTTAGTTTACCAGAGAGTACATGTTACCCTCTGGATCCCTCTGGTAAACATACAAAAAGCTATTGAACATGGCCCAGTCGAAATAGTGAGTGTTCCCATGAAAATAGCATGGTGATTTTCCAGTTCGCAAAATGTAAACGTTTACCAGAGGGTAATTATGCTGGCCGGCTGGATACTGCAATGTCTTGAAGATTCTGTGTTTTTCTGGATTTCTCGGATTTCTCGGGTGTTCTTGCTTTAGGGTACGCTACCATCTGGATACACCCAGCCGCATCTGTCATCCATCTCTGACCATGAAGTGTCCCTGCTGATCTACCCGGCCTGGTAAACGTTTACATTTTGCGAACTGGAAAATCACCATGCTATGTAGCTGGGTAAATCAACTATTTCGACTGGGCCATGTTGAATGTCGCAAACTGTGAATGTTTACCAGAGGCTATACCATCATATATCCTAATAAATCCCATTAAATCCCATTAGATCACCATTTTCAATAGCTATGTTTGTTTACCGTATTTTTGTTTCCGCAATCTGAGCACTGCAAAATCACCCAGTCGGATGATTTCGCGGATGGTCCCATTCAACGTGTGGATTACCAGAGGGTAACCTGTGAGGCCGTGGTGCAAACTGGAGGAGATGTTGGGCGTTCCATGCGGCTCAGCTGAAATCCAAAAAAAGGTGGTGCTGGGCCCAAAATTCTGAAGCAATGAAGTCAGCCACTTTTCTGGTTGGTGCTGACTGGAACCATGGAATTAGACATGACTTTCCCATCATATTGGGAAGAATCATCCCAACTGACGAACTCATATTTTTCAGAGGGGTAGGTATACCACCAACCAGCTGTGGATTGGGGAAGCAATGGGTTTGGGAAACGATCGACTATACCCCATCGAAGAAAACCCCTTGTGGGGTCTCCAGTATTCTGCAAGGACTTCAGGCTTTCCATCTAGACGCACACCGCGCGTCATGTGTGTCCTGGGCGATGGATTAGATTAACATAGATTAACCCATTAAATTGAGGAATGGTCATCAAGCCATTTTCATAAGTGTTTTATATGATTTTAATGCCCATTGTAAGGATTCCCAATCTGGGATAGATGACCATAATCCAAACAAAGCATCTTTTGACCATGGCGTGTTTCTTGTACTCAAGTTTGTCAAGTTTGAGTACTGGACATTTTAAAAGTTTAATCTATGACACAACCAATCTGTGGCTTGGGCTCGAATTTTGGACGGCGCCTGGCTTATAAGATTTAAAGGTTTGCTGCTTATTTTTCACAAGTCAGCTGAGACTCAATCCCATTTCAACAGCTTGTTCTAATGACAGGCGATTATCGCTGACTTGCTCAAAATTTGGAACTTGAGGGGTGGCTCAACCACCAGCCAGATGTCAGTTCTTCATTTTTCAAACCCATCTTAACTATAAGAATATTTGATTATAGATATATATACCGTATGTATTATATATTATATATTATATATATAAATATTATATATATATATTATATATAAATATTATATATATATATATGTATATATCTACCATAAACCCAGCTATTTCGCTATCCCGAAAAAGATGCCCAACGTTGTGTTTCCAGGAGGTTAGTTCGGCTCACATTTCTATGACTGTTGGGGTAAATTATAACGACCTCACTGTTCTCCCTAACTCTGGAATGATCGTTTGATTGCGGGGAATCGTGTCCCCAAATGACCGCCAGTTTCAGGTTTTTGTGAAATATTGCAATGTACCCAGATAGATATACAAGCATGTACATTAATATACCTGGTTGGTGGTTTGGAACCATGGAATTTTATGACTTTCCATATATTGGGAATTTCATCATCCCAACTGACTTTCACTCCATCATTTTTCAGAGGGGTAGGCGAAAAACCACCAACCAGATACATCTCCAAGATCCAATCATATCCAATCCACAAATGCCTTGGGGTTGCGAAATCCTTGTAGAAATCCTGTGGATGGGCCAGCGAAATCCTGCACCAACTGGATCTTTGAAAGCCCAACTTAAAATAATGAGATGTTTACCGCCAATCAACTCAGGATTTCGCTGGCTTTCGCAACCATCCACCGTATCTCTAGATAAATCCATCATTGGTTTATAACCCCATCTAAATATAATTATAAATATCATACACTATTCTTATTATAGTTATATCATACACTATTCTTATTATAGTTATAAACCAACTTAGCTAGCGAACTGGGGCCCCATCCTGTTGGGGTTGCTATGGTTGTCGCTACCCTCTGGTAAACTAACATAACTATGGAAAATCATTATTTTCAATACGTAAATCAACTATAGATGTGCAATTTTCAATAGCAAACTGTTCGATTACCAGAGGCTATATCATCATATATCCTAATAAATCCCATTAGATCCCATTAAATCCCATTAAATCCCATTAAAAACCCATAAAAAACACATTGAACCACCATGTTTTCATGTCGCTTCTGAGGTGTCTCTGGTCTGCTGAGAGGCTACGACAGTCCACAGTCACTACTTCAGGACGCTGAGCAGAGAACAGATTTGCCAGATCTTTGCTGGGCAAAACATGGTTGGAAAATTGTTATTTTATATTCAACATGAAAATTGCTTTTTTTTTCAATATGTAAATGGGGAACGTGGCTATATTATTATTATGTTTTTAACAGGGAAAACCGCTATTTGTCAATATTTTAATGGGGAAATTTGGTATTTAATGCGGATATTTAATGGGATATATATATATAACCAACAATATGTGCCATGGTCAAAACAAGGGTTGTGTTCTCGTCAACGGGATTGGTCATCAATCGGAGAATAGGGATTTCTCTACCATTATAGACCCATTTTTTCAGGATTCCCACTAGGAGATGGAGGGTAACCCAGATACCATGTTTTGAGCCGTGGCACGCATGTGGTTTTTTGACCCCATCAGATGTCTATGGCTGGCAGGCTGAGTTTACCTTCACAAGTTGGTATATACCCTCTGGTAATTTAAAGTAGCTGTTGAAAATTGCCATTTATAGTTGATTTACCCAGAAGAAATGGTGATTTTCTATAGCTATGTTAGTTTACCAGAGGGTAGCTCCTGTGAGTATGGTGAACATTGGTGACCTATATCCACTCAGAAAAAAAAAGTGTCGCTTGGCTGTGAAGATCGGGAA